CCTGTGTCCCTGGCGGCCTGCGCTGGGGGCGGGCCCCTCTGAGCCCAGTTCCCCTCAGAGATTATGGGCCTTTTCTGTCACTGTGCTCTTTCTCTCTTTCTAATTATGAAAATGACCACATGCACCCCAGAAGCAATTTCTGTTAGCATTCAGGCATGTGACTGGTGGGACATGTTTGATGGCTGAAATCCTACACAGTACGACTTGGTGTCCTACTTCCTGTCTCTGTTTTTAATTCAGCACCGCTGTGGAGGTCTTGGTGCCCACCCACCCCCAAGTGGCCCCTCCTGTCTTGTTGCTGGATGCGCAGTGGCCCGGCAGGCCCCCTCACACATGGCGGGATTGGGGGGTGGCGTTCAGGGGAGGGCTTGGGAGGCACAGGCCCTGCACTCCATCCTGGGACTGCAGGCAGCAGGGGGCTGGAGTGCTCCTTGCACGTGAGACCGGCCAGGGGCCCGTGAGGACACCACCCCTTGGCCAAGGCCGTCCGCACTCTGTGCCTGGGGATGGGTGGGCGGTGGGTAGGCACTCGGTTGTTCCTCCTTCCCCAAGGCCCACTGTGCATGGCCTCCAGCCCGGGATGAGCCCCTGGTAGGTGACCCACGCTAGTCCTTTGAGGGCTTCCGGCCTGGTGGGGAAGGTGGTGCATGCACTGGAGGCTTGAAAGGAGCCCAGGTGATGGGAGGAAGGGACATGGGGCATCTGAGTAGGACTCAGCTCCAGGGGCATCCCCCAATCCCGCAGGGCCCCTACTGCCCCTGAGCTCCAGGGAATTGCTGCTGGAAACACAGTACAAGGGTTGCCAGGCAGTGGAAAAATTTGGAGCTAAAAATACAGTGTGGCAGCCCCTGCCTCCCAGTTCCGGAACCCCGCTCCTGCCATTGTACCCGCCTTCCCCAAGGAAGACAAGCTCACTCTTTGCACCCCGCCCCCGCGCCCTCACTGGCTCTGGGCCCAGAAACACCCAGCCCCGGTGCTGACGCTGGCAGGGCCGCCCTGAGGCTGCCTCCCCACAGCAGCCAGCCCCTCTCCCGGGTGCCCCTGTCCCCAGCCGGTGCCTCCCCTCCCCCTCACTCCCCCCCTGGGGCCCCCAGCCCCTCCCCCAGCCGTCGCAGTGATCTAGGAACAGAAGGCCAAACCCGCTCCTCAAGGGTGCTGAGCGCTGGCATTTCTCTGGGCTTCCCCACCCCACCACACTGCTGAGACCCCGGGGGGCCCATGCGGGGGCCTCCCACAGCCATGCCCAGGACCCAGCTTGGTGCCCAGTGCCCGCCTTGGGAGGCCCTCCCTCTCTGGCTCAGTTTCTCTGTCTGCATGGCAGGGGCTGGACCCTGAGGCCGGGGGGTGGGGAAGGCAGCTTCAATCCTGCCCCCTGTCCCCCCCCCAGGAACACACTCTGCTTGACAGACCCCTGCCAGGCAGGGGCGGTGCCTCCCCATGAGTCCGCACGGCTGCCTGGCATGTGGGTGCCCGGATGGAGGTGCTGGTACTGCGGTGAGGGGCTGGCCGGGCGTGGGCAGAAAGGCAGATGGGTGTCCGCGTCTCCTCCGGGTCCTCAGGGCAGCCCCAGCTTGGACTGGGTGAGCTCGGGTGAGCGGCGCACCCGGTCAGTGGACTGACCCAGCTGAGGGGGGAGGCGTGACCCCGCCCCAGCGGGAACCCCACTTTATTGGTAGGACAAAATTGAGCGCTGAAGAAGCATTGGGGAACGTGCCACTCGTGTCAGAGCCCCAGTATCTTCCTCTGCAAAAGGCCCCTGCTCACCAGAGTTCCCCTGGCGCAGGGGGAAGGACGGACTGTCTGCGGGGCACTTGGGGGTGCTGAAGCTCCCCCACCTTTCAGCTGCCCGAGGGACTGGGTAGGGCCTGAGCCGCCAGGTGCTTGGACCCTGGGAGACGGTCGTGCTCTTCAGTGGGTGGTGCCTGCCGCAGAAAAAGTCTCTGCAGATGCAAATTCCTGCGCTGGCCCCACCCCCGTGTGGGGTGCGGGGGCCCAGAGATAACATTCCGGAGCGTGTGGCCCCGCCCCACCCTGACTAGGCGGAGTCTGGGAGGGTCCCTGCGACCCCGCCCTGTCTAGGCGCCGGGCTGGCTTGCAGCGGGACGCTTGGCCCACGGGCTGGGCGGGGCCGGGCGCCCGCGGACGGAATGACAACAGCCGGGAGCGCTCGCTCGTGCCGCCGGGTCCAGTTTATCCGCTGGGAACCCCACCGCACCTGTCAGTTGACAGACCGGGAGCAGAGGGCAGCGTCCCGTCCCCAGGAGCACACAGCCAGTAAGCCCAGGAGTCTGGCTCCTGCCTTCCAGCACGCCGCCTCCCCCGCGGGTCCGGCTCTTGCCAGGCAGGCTTGTTCCCCACCGTTCTCCTGACTGCAGCAAATGCCTGATTCCCTCTGGGGCTCCCGGCAGAAACGTTCAACCACCACCCGCACAGGGACAGGCCGTGTCTCGGGAGCTGCTCCTGGCAGGGACTGGGTCACCACCCCTGAATTTGGCTGAGACGCCAGGCGGGCAGGAGAGTGGGATCGCTTTACAGTTTGATTATGTGTATACGCGGTCATGGTTCCTGTGGACGTGCCGTGTTCTATCCGTGTGTAGTGTGTGCGTGTGGAGCGCGTCTATACATCCTGTCTGATTGTTGCCGGGTGTGCCTGTATGTGAGGCACTCGAGTACATATGTACGTGTGACATGCTGTCTACTGTGTGCGTGTCCTATTCTGTGCGCGTGTATAATGCACGCGTGGAGGGGCATGATCAGCTTGTGAAACTCAGCTCCAGGGCACACAGCTTAGGGTCCTTCGTGGGCAGGCAGGTAGACAGGGCTGATCGCCTCCTGCAAGGGGGCCCCTGCAGGTGGGGTCTCTTGGGGTAGTGAGCTGGGGGTGCACACGGAGGCCTAGGCAGTGCCAGGTGGGGCGCTCTGGGCTATGCAGGCTGTCTGGGAGAGGTTGTTTTCTGCACCTAGGGACCCCTGGGGCTCTTGGCTAGAGAAGACCCTTAGGATGCTGGAGGCCTGGCCTGGGAGAGTTCATGCTCCAGCACTCAGCCTGTGCCAAGGAAACAGGGACTTGGGCCAGTGGGGCGGGGGTGGGGTGGGGCGGGGAAGGGAGGGTCAGTCCTGGCTGCGCCTTTAAGCGGCAGCACCCGAGGTGGGCGGCAGTGTGTGCGAAGACCGCTTGCTGTGCTCTTCACGGTGCCGGGAGCAGCCCCCTCCCCTGGCCCCAGGAGGCTGCCCAGGAGGGACCAGAGCCACAGCTGGAGGCCGGGCAGCTCAGTGGGCAGCAGTGATGAGAAGCCAGGAGAGTGCGAGGGGCAGCCTGAGGCAGGGCCTGGAATGGGCGGGCAGAGGCAGCCGGAAGGTCTTGCGCATCTGGGTGAGTGGACGGTGGGGGAGGGGGCGGGTGGTGAAACCGTGCCATCTCAGGGAGGGCTGACGGACACCCTGACGCCTCTGCAGGGATGCCCATACCCCCTGCCTCTCCGGATGCTCCCAGTGGGCAGATGCCAGAGGTTCAGGTGAGGACAGGGTGGCTCACGCAGGACGAGTGGCCTGGTGGGCCCAGAGCTGGTGCGCACGCAGGCCGGAGCCTCTCTCCCCCTCAACGAGACCGCCTCCCTGGGGCACCCCCACGAGCCTGCCTGGCACTCAGCCAGGCAGGAGGATGAGGGGCTGGTGGGGGGCTGGACTCCTGGTGTGGACCCACTGCAAACAGAGGAGGGGCTGCTGGAATGCCAGGCCATCCCATGCTTGGGGTGGGGGGAATTCGGGGAGCACAAAGGAGGACACCCAAGACACTCACCAAGGCGGAGGGGGAGTGGGGCCTCCAGGGGTGCCAGCTGTGAGCCAGCCAGGGACAGGCACCTGAGCTCCTGTCCCCACTCCACCTCTATCTCCTGTAGGACCTCAGATGGCCCCTGGAGTCCCCCCGTAACGTACCGGGTCCGGCAGCCCTGAGAGGGAGGCTGGGCTGGATGCCTGGGGTCCAGGCTCACTCAGTTCTGCCCTTTCCAATTCTGGGGGCTGGGCATGTGACCTGGCTTCTCTGGGTACCACCCTCCTTTCCTCTCCTGTAACGTGGGGCGGCTGGGGACCTGGGGGGGGGCGGTGGCGGGGCCAGGCCCTGGGCATGAGGCTCGGTGGTCCTGCTGTGCCCTGCTTCTCGGGCGCCCTCTCAGCAGCTCCATGCTGTCCTTCTCACGCACTAAATACAAGACCCGAGCCATACATGGTCGCAGGAGAGCCTGGGCTGCCCCTGACCTTTGAGGCCAGTCCCCAGAGGCTCTGGCTGAGGACAGCATCACCGTCGAGGGCCCCGAGGAGGGGGGCTTAGTGGGTGTGGCAAAGGCACGGTCACGGCCGGCCTGTCCTCTTGGGGGAAGGCAGGGTTGGGGGGCTCACACCTGTTGAGGCTGCATCGAGTAGAGCTCCACATGCCAAGGGCTTCAGGGGACATCCGGTCCTCTGCCCACACAGACGGACGAACTGAGGGCCTCAGAGGCAGGGCTACTTCCCCAGGGGCCCTGGCCTTGCTCGTGATGGGGGGGCTCCAGGCCGACTCCCTCAAGTCGGCCCCTTCCCCAGCCACCGCCTGATGCCATGGGCAGCCCCCAAGTGCCCAGGGTCTGGAACGGCCCCTCCCGGTTGCCCCTATCTGACCCCGTCCCCGGGGCAGGGGAAGTGCTCTGGGACAAGATAAGGGAGCCCCAGAGATGCCACTTTGGTTGCTTCGTCACTACTGGATCAGTGGTGTTCCTGCCAGTGTAGCTGCCTTGAGGTCCTCGGGTGGACAGGGAGGCGGCTACTACCCACTCAGCCAATGTGCGGCTCGTCAGGGGAGCGCACGAGGAGAAGCCCGGGACGGCGGCGGCCCTGACGGCGGGACGAGGGCACAGTGTCCCCCGGGCAGGCCCGTCCGGCAGGCGGAGGGAGACACCGAGGCAGAGGACCCTGCCTCCCCCCGCGGGCCGGGGGCTCACGCCCGACTCCCCCTGGCCCCGCAGGTCGGCAAGATGTCGGTGAAGGAGGGTGCGCAGCGCAAGTGGGCCACGCTGAAGGAGAAGCTGGGGCCGCAGGACTCGGACCCCACGGAGGCCAACCTGGAGAGCGCGGAGCCCGAGCTGTGCATCCGGCTGCTGCAGATGCCCTCCGTGGTCAACTACTCGGGCCTGCGCAAGCGTCTGGAGAGCAGCGACGGCGGCTGGATGGTGCAGTTCCTGGAGCAGAGTGGCCTGGACCTGCTGCTCGAGGCCCTGGCGCGCCTGTCCGGCCGCGGGGTGGCCCGCATCGCCGACGCCCTGCTGCAGCTCACCTGCATCAGCTGCGTGCGCGCCGTCATGAACTCGCAGCAGGGCATTGAGTACATCCTGAGCAACCAGGCCTACGTGCACCAGCTCTCCCTGGGTGAGCCGCGGCCCGCTGCTGGGCGGTGGGCGGGCAGCCTGGCACACACACCCCTTCGCGACTCAGTATGGAGGCTCTGGGCCTCGGACGGCAGCGGGAGGGCTGGGGTCGCAGGAGAGAACTCAGCGGGGCAGCAGGGAGGGCTTCCTGGAGGAAGACCAGGTTCCCGTTCGCCCCAAGTCTGAGCCCTCCAGGTCAGCTCAGAGCCATGGTCCCCCAGCCGCTGCACCTGGTTGTCCCCTCCGTTCTGTGACTTTGCCTGGCCTTTCCGTCCAGCCCTGTGCTTGTTCATGCCCCGCCCCCTTCCCCGTCTCTGGCCCACAGCGCCCCTCCCTCCCACCGGCCACCCTGGTCCGTGCCCTGGCAGCCAGACTCACCCGGGCCAAAAACGCAAGTCCACCCTAGTAGCCCCACTTACCTTCGGCCTGGCTCCAAGCCCCTGACCTCCGCAGGGCCACAGCCCTTCGGTTCTGGCCAGCACATGAAGCTGGTGGCACCTTCTCCCACCTTCCCCACACCCCTACCCTGCCCACTCGGTGCCCTGCCCCCACCTCCTGCTCAGGCTGCGCTGGGCCTTTGTGCACCTGCTGACTCCTTAAGGTCTCCCTCACGGTCACCTCCTCCAGGAAGTCTCCCCAGGCTGCACCCAGCGTCAGCCTCCTACCTTTGGGAGGACCTCAGGTGGCCCTTAGTGAACAGGGGTCACTGTGTGTCCCTCGCCTGTCAGGCTGTGATGCTCCAGGGCAGGTGCTCGGAGCCGCGGGAGGGGGCGGTGACGGTGGGTCGGCCCGTGGGGGTGGGCGGGCGCCTGTGTGGCTGAGCAAGCCAGCGGGCACTCAGCCTGCCCTGCGCAGCCGGGCTTGTGCGGCTGCGTAGAGTCCCTCGTAGCCTCTCAGCAAGGCCAGCTAAGGGGCGCCCCCAGCGCTTCCCCAGCCCGGGAGATGCGGTGGGAGGCGGGCTCGGGCGACGAGGAGGCACCGCAGGCTGTTTGGTGGAAACCTGGGCTCAGCCCAGGGAGCTGTGCCAGGGGCCGCTCTCGGACCAAGGCCCGGCCCAAGCGGACCGGTCCTGCGGGGCCGCTCTCGGAACCCAGGCCCGGCCCAAGCGGCCCGGTCCTGCGGGGGCCGCTCTCGGAACCAAGGCCCGGCCCAAGCGGACCGGTCCTGCGGGGGCCGCTCTCGGAACCAAGGCCCGGCGCAAGCGGACCGGTCCTGCGGGGGCCGCTCTCGGAACCAAGGCCCGGCCCAAGCGACCGGTCCTGCCGGGGCCGCTCTCGGAACCAAGGCCCGGCCCAAGCAGACGGGTCCTGCAGGGGCCTGGGCGCCGGCGCAGAGCGCCCCCTGGTGTCCACCTGTGGGCCTGCTTGTCCCGCTGGAGTGGGGGTTCCGTTGGGCGGTCAGACGGGTGGGAAGGGCCGCCGGGAGGAGGAGGAGCCCAGGCCTGGGATCGATGCGGGGGCGCCCACTGAGCCTCCCTGGCCCTCGGCAGCTCTGGACACGTCCAACGTGATGGTCAAGAAGCAGGTGTTCGAGCTGCTGGCCGCCTTGTGCATCTACTCCCCCGAGGGCCACATGCTGACCCTGGATGCCCTGGACCACTACAAGGTGAGCCGCGGGGCGCCTGGGTCCACGCTGGGCCAGGGCACGTGCTGACCCGGCCCTCGCCCGCCCTGCAGACGGTGTGCAACCAACAATACCGCTTCAGCGTCATCATGGCTGAGCTCTCCGACAGCGACAACGTGCCCTATGTCGTCACCCTGCTCAGTGTGATCAACGCCATCATCCTGGGCCCCGAGGACCTCCGCACCCGCAGCCAGCTGCGCGGGGAGTTCATCGGTAAGCGCCCGTGGCCCGCCCTGTGCCCCCTGCAGGAGCTGCCCCTCCCCGCTCCCCTGGGGCCCTGGACTTGGGTCCTGCATGGCTCTCAATGTGAGGCTGACCCCCCAGTTCCAGTCCTGCCAGGGTGGCAGTGACCGTTCAGCGGGGACGACCGTGTTGCCCTCCAGAGCGTTCTGGGTACTTGTAGGAATGGCAGGGTCCCCCTCCCGCCCATGGGCTGGGTGTTCTGGGTGGTGGGAATGAGCCCAAGGAGGGCGCAGAGAGGAAGGCCTCAGAAGACGCAAGCAACCCGGGGTGGGGGGCTGACCAGAGCAGCCTCTGAGGCCCGCTGACCCCACTGTCCCTTCCCAGGGTTGCAGCTGCTGGACATCCTGACACGGCTACGGTGAGTCCCCACCACTGTTCTCCAAAGCCAGGCTCACCCTTTCCTTGGGTCCCACACGGCACCTCCAGTGGGCAGAGGGGGCTTCCAGGAGTAGCCCCAGTGGGCCTGCCCCGCTGAACCCAGTCCCAGTGACAGTGCAGTCTGCCGTCGCTCACACTGCCTGACGGGCCACCCTGCGGAACCTCTCGGCCCAGGGGCTTGGGGGTTGCCAGACACAATGCAGGACACCCCGTCAAGTAGGAGTGTAGACCAACAGCAAGGCGTTCTAGCGTAAGCATGTCCCATATGTCGCATAGGACATACTCATGCTAAATACCACTCGCTGTTTTCCTGAAATTCAAACTTATTTGGGTTCTGGGAACCCACGCAGCTGAGAACGTCCCTCCCAGGCCCCATCAGGACCACTGTCCTGGGTGGGGCCACCTGTCCCAGCTACAGGGCCACGTGCCCAGCACAGCCCCGCTCAGAGAGGTCTGTGCGTCTGTCCAGGGTCGGGGGGGAGGCGGGGGGCGGGCAGCAGCCTCAGCCCGCCCGGCCCCTCTCGCCCCAGGGACCTGGAGGATGCCGACCTGCTGATCCAGCTGGAGGCCTTCGAGGAGGCCAAGGCTGAGGACGAGGAGGAGCTCCTGCGCGTCTGTGGGGGCATCAACATGAACAGCCATCAAGAGGTCTTCGCTTCTGTGTTCCACAAGGTGAGCTGGGGCAGGGCAAGCTGGCCGGGGCCCATCTCCAGAGGCGGGGGTCCGGGGCTCAGACACGGCTGCCTTCCCTGACCGGAGACCCCACCCCGGCCAGATCAGTGGGGCCAGATCTGGAGCCACATCAGGGAGCAGCGAGGGATCAGGGGGCTGGAGACAGGAGGAGCCCGGAGCTGGAACGGGCAGCCTGGGGGCAGTCTTCGCTGTCACAGGCTCCGAGCCAAGGCCACGGGACCCGGGAGGACAGCATCCCAAAGACCAGGGCTGCCCAGAGGTAGCTGAGCTGTCCTGGGCCCCCGCAGGTGGGCTGCCTCGAATGGCCCAAGGGGCTTCCGGACCAGCAGGAGGCCAGGAGGCTGCGTTCTGGTCCAGCTCAGGCCCTCCCTGGCCGGGACCTCCTGTCCTTCGCTGAACCCACGGCTCTCAGCCAGGGGACGAGTGTCGCCAGGGGGCCTCCAGAAACATCTGGACACATTTGGGGTGGTCTCAGTCGGGCAAGGGGTACTACCGGCTGCAGGCGGGTGGAGACCAGGGATGCCGTGAGACCTCCCACCATGCCCAGGGCAGTCCCCAGCATGGAGAGGGGTCCAACCCCAAATATCACTGGTGCAGCAGTCAGGGAACCCCAGCTCTGGCTCATCCAGAGCGGTGACGGGGTGGACGTTCCTGGCAGTCTGAAGCCTGCCGTTGTCGGCCTGCCCCGGGAAGGGCATGGCTGCCCACCCATCCTTTTCCTCCCCACCCAGGTGAGCTGCTCCCCAGCCTCTGCCCAGCTGCTGTCCATGCTGCAGGGCCTCCTCTACCTGGAGCCCACCCTCCCCTCCAGCCAGCTGCTCTGGGAGGCTCTGGAGAACCTGGTGAACCGGGCCGTGCTCCTGGCCAGTGACGGTGAGCAGGTGGGGCAGATGGGGGCGTCCTGCCCACAGCGCCCTCCCTGACCCCAACCCAGCGGGCAGACAGTGGGTCTTAGACTGTTGTGGGAGGGTTCCGTCCTTGGCCCCTCACCCACCCTCTACCTGAGGGCAGTGGCCATGCCTTGCCCGCCGCCCACCACCCACCTCCTCTGGCACCTGCCCTGACCCTGGACAACCCCTCCACAGTCCAGGAATGCACCCTAGAAGAGATGGTGGAGCGGCTCCTGTCCGTCAAGGGGCGGCCACGCCCAAGCTCCCTGAACAAGGCCCACAAGAGTGTGCAGGCCGACCTAGGCCAGAGTCAGAAGGGCAGCATGCCCCAAAACAGTGGTGCCCTGAAGGCGGGTGTGGAGGGCCGCCAGCCCGAGGCCGACCTCACCAGCCTGCACACCGTCGACGTCCAGGGCTTGAGCAGCATGGTCGCCCCACAGCAGCGGGCGCCCACCCCAGTCCCACCTGCACCCCCACTCCCCGGCTCCCCTGCAGTGCCTCCTCCCCCACCCCTACCTCCCCCACTGCCAAGCCTGGGGGCCCTGGCCCCCCCACCCCCTCCCCCACTGCCAGGCCTGGGGGCCCCGCCACCCCCTCCCCCACTGCCAGGCCTGGGGGCCCCCCCACCTCCACCCCCTCCCCCACCCCCGCTGCCTGTCTCGGTTGGGGCCCTACCTCCCCCACTCCCGGGCACAGGGTGCCCCCCTCCCCCCCCACCCCTGCCGGATCTGTCTGGCTCCTCTAGGGTGGGTGGCGAGGACATCATTGTGGCCCACGTGAGCCACGGCCTAGACTCTGCCTGGGTCCCAAGCCACCGGCGAGTAAACCCTCCCACTCTGCGCATGAAGAAGCTCAACTGGCAGAAGCTGCCGTCCAGGGTGGCACAAGGTGAGGACCCCCGGTCCCTGTGAGTGGCTGCCTTCCCGCGGCCGGGGGCTGGGCTGCTGGGCAAGTGGCCCGCCAAACCTGCAGCAGCCCTGCTCCTGTCTGGGCCTCGGCCCGGGCGTGAGCCTGACCGGGCACCCCATGCGCAGAGCACAACTCCATGTGGGCCTCGCTGAGCAGCCTGGGTGCCGAGGTCGTGGAGCCGGACTTCTCCAGCATCGAGCGGCTCTTCTGCTTCCCCCAGGCCAAGCCCAAGGAGCACGTGGCCGCCCCGGCCAGGAAGGAGCCCAAGGAGGTGGGGCCGGGCTGGGGCTCGGGCGGGGGCCTCTGTGCTGCTCAGGGGCCAAGGGCCAACACCAGGGCCGGGGTGTTTTCCAGATCACTTTTCTGGACTCCAAGAAGAGCCTGAACCTCAACATCTTCCTGAAGCAGTTTAAATGGTGAGCAGCCCCTCCTGGGAGCCCCCTCCCCTCCCCTGCACCTCCCGTCTTGGGCTGCGCAGTGCCCTCTGCAGGCCGCTCCTGGGAAGTGCACACCCCCCTCCCTGTGGCCAGTCATAGCTGCAGACGGGCCCCGCTGGGGGCCCTGCAGAGCACCAGGCCCCACTTCCTGGGGAAGCTGAGGCCCAGACAGCAGCAGTCAGTGCTCCTGGCCCCCAAGTCCTTGCCTGCAGCTGCTGGGCACTGGCTCCTGCCAGGGAGCTCCCTGGGCATGCATGAGCCGGCCTGCCTGGGTCCTGAGCAGCCGCCTGGAAGGAGGAGCGGGGGGTGCAGACCCGGAGGGCGGTATTCAGCCCCCAGCCTCGTTACTGTGTGACCCCAGGCAGGGGGTTTGCCTTCTCTGTATCCCGGCAGCTCGGGCCCCCAGGCAGCAGAGAGGTCATGGGCTGAGGGCAGCCCCCGACTGACAGGGTCCCCAGGAGCCCCCAGGAGGTGGCCGTGCTCCCTGGGCTCCCACCCCAACCACGCCCTCTCTCCTGCAGCTCCAACGAGGACGTGACTGCTATGATCCGGGCTGGGGACACCACCAAATTCGACGTGGAGGTTCTCAAGCAGCTCCTCAAGCTCCTTCCTGAAAAGCACGAGGTGAGTGGGAAAGAGCCTGCCAGCCCTGCCCTGGGGGCCCCCAGCAAGGGACAGAGGAGGGGACACACGGACGCACAGTCCGGAGCCGCACGGAGCTGTGCTGGACACGAGGGGGCCCTGGCGGGGCAGGTGCACGCAGGTGCCGGGCAGTGCAGGGGGCTTCCTGGGAGGGGATGGGAGCTGGAATCCCATGTGTGGCCTCCTCCCTGCAGATTGAAAACCTGCGCTCCTTCACAGAGGATCGGGCCAAGCTGGCCAACACCGACCAGTTCTACCTCCTGCTGCTGGGCATTCCCTGGTGAGTGGGCAGCCCTCGGACCCCAGGGCCCAGTGGTGGGGAAGGGGCGGGGGGAACTGGGCCTAGACCTCGAGGAAGGAGTGGGGCTGCGCAGACTGTTCCCTTGGGACTCCGCGAGGACCGCTGCACATGTCACTCACGCGCCCACCTGCTCTGAGAGGGAGGGGCGCCCCGCAGGGAGGTGACTGCCCTCCTGGGCCCACCTGGTGCTTGTCTCACGTGCCCCTTCCCGGGCCCTACCCCAGGCCTGCTGAGTCCGCCACTGGGACCTGGCCCAGGAACGTGCATGTCGAACAGGGCCGGGCCGTCAGCCCCCCGAGCTGCAGGCCCAGCGCCGGTGAGGGGGGCCCAGTCCCTGATCTCCTGCTCTGTCCCCAGCTACCAGCTGCGGGTGGAGTGCCTGCTACTGTGTGAGGGCACGGCTGTCGTGCTGGACATGGTGCAGCCCAAGGCCCGGCTGGTCCTCGCGGCCTGCAACAGTGAGTGGGGGCAAAGCCTGGGGCTGGGGGGACCTGGCGCCCGGAGAGCGAGCGATCCCGGCGCGCTGACCTTCCCCACCTCACCATAGACACGCAGACACAGCCCTGCTCTGAGACACGCACCATGCACGCGCACTCACGTGTGCACCCACCAGCACTCACACAGACCCACTCAGCCCCATACACAGCTGCGTGTGTGCACGCAGGGACACACACGTGAACACTCACTGCTTTCTCCAAACGAGGGACGAGCAGGAACATAACCAAGCCCCGGGGCAGGGACGCAGCAGTGGACGTCCACTCCCATCCCGGCCACAGAGCCAGGAGGGCCACCATCCCCGAAGCCCCAACGGATGGTTAGGGGAGACCCGGGGAGGCCACAGCTACAGCCTTCTGGAAGGTTCCCCCCAGCAGCGTCATCCCCAGAAGGGGGCAGGGGTCGTCCGCCCCCGGGGCGCGGGGGTGCAGTGAGTGCTAACAGTGGTAGACCTGCACCCAGAGCCCCTGAGCCTGTTCGCCGTGGGGGGGTTCCAGCCACCCTGCCCCCCCCGGACCGAGCCCAGGGGAGGGGAGCGAAGAACCGCACGCCACAGCCTCAGACACTGGGCAGCACCCTCCCCTCCCTCAGCCCTGGTGCCCTCCCACAGGCCTGCTCACCAGCCACCGGCTGCCCATCTTCTGCCAGCTGATCCTGAAAATTGGAAACTTCCTTAACTACGTAAGCGAGCCCCCCCTGCTCCCCCCCACCCCGCTCCCCCCTGCCAGGCAGCAGGGGCCCTCACTCCTGACCCGGGCCCTCGCAGGGCAGCCACACGGGGGACGCTGATGGCTTTAAGATCAGCACGCTGCTGAAGCTCACGGAAACCAAGTCCCAGCAGAGCCGCGTGACCCTACTGCACCACGTGCTGGAGGTGGGACCGGGGCTGGCCCCCCCGAGGCTCGGGCATCCCTGGGGCCAGGGTGTGGCCACGGGGCTCTCACTGGACCCGTCCTGTTGCAGGAGGTGGAGAAGAACCACCCAGACCTCCTGCAGCTGCCCCGGGACCTGGAGCAGCCCTCCCAGGCAGCGGGGTAGGTGCCCCCTGCCCCCCTGACCCGCCTGACCTGCGCTGGCGCCCCCCTACCTGCCTCCCTGCACCAGCACCCCTCACCAGCCCCCCTGCCTCACCTGCGCTGGCACCCTCCTCGTCCGGGCCGGTGAGGTGGCTGGGCCAGGTAGGCCCCCAGGAACCACTGCCCCATAGAAAGCTCACTTTCACCTCAGACTAGGACCTTGGGTCCATCATGGCTTGTCCCCACGTGATTTGCAGGAGGAAACTGAGGCCTGGGGGAGGTAGGGAGTGACCTGGTCATGGTCACACCAGGGGCTAGGCTGACGCCACCTCTTTACAAGGTTGAGCCTCACAACAGCCCATGAGGAAGGCCATGCCACTCCCATTGTACAGATGGGGAAGCTGAGGCCCAAGCAAGTGGGGCTGCATTCATGGGGCCCCTCAGCACAGAGGGGCAGCTCAGGGAGGGTGGCCTGGACCTTCCAACTCCAGGTACATGCTGCTGCGGAGGGTCCTCAGGCCCAAGAGCCAACGATGGGCTGAGCCGCTGGGTCCCAGCATTTCACCCCCAGCACCGCCTGGCCCGCCCAGAGCTCTGACGTGTTTCCAGCAACCTGCGGGTGTGTGGTCCAGTGTCCCCCGCTGTCCCTGTGCAGGCAAGGGGCTCCACTGACCCCACAAGATTGGACAGCAGCTATCACCCGACCCCGCCGGGCTCTGGGGTGTTTTTCAGGATCAACCTTGAGCTCATCCGTTCCGAGTCCAGCACCAACCTGAAGAAGCTTCTGGAGATAGAGCAGAAGGTGTGGTCCTCCATCCCTGAGGTGCAGGAACAGTACACCCAGCGCGTCCAGGCAAGCCGGGGCCGGGGTCTGGGCCGGGGGGCGACGGCGGATCGTTTCCGGGGGGGGAGGCCTTGCTGGGGGTGCGGCAGCCTAGGCCAGCGAACCAGGCAGGGGCCGGTGAGCATGGGGGAGGACAGAGCCCGGGCCAGGGGCCCCGCGGGAGGGCAGCATGCTGTCCCTGGTCCCACGGTGGTTCCTGCAAGTGAGGGGCTTCCCCGACCCGGGGGCCGCAGTGCCCAGACCTCCTGGTCCTGCTGTCTGTGGGGTCCGCTGCAGCTAGCCGTCACGCTCCTGCGGCCGGGGCCCCGCCCTGCCCCCAGGGCTCCCTCCACGGGGCTCCCCCAGGGCTGTGACCGTGCCCCCTGCCCCCAGGCCAGCATCAAGGCCTCCCGGGCGCTGGATGAGGTGTTCCAGGCCATCGAGCAGAAGAAGCTAGAGTTGGCCAGTTACCTGTGTGAGGATGCTCAGCAGCTGTCCCTGGAGGACACATTCAGCACCATGAAGACCTTCCGGGACCTCTTCATCCGCGCCCTGAAGGTGGGCTGGGCCGCAGCCCCTCTGCAACCTCGGGCAGAGCAACTGGAATCGCCCCTTGAGGGCTGGGGGTCACGGGCTCTGTGTCCACCCGCCACAGGAGAACAAGGACTGGAAGGAGCAGGCGGCGAAGGCTGAGAGGAGGAAGCAGCAGCTGGTGGAGGAGGAGGCGCGGAGGCCGCGGGGGGAGGACGGGAAGCCTGGTGAGGCCGGGCCCAGCTGGGGGGTGAGGGAGAGCTGGGGGGGGGCGGCCCCGGCTGGGGGACAAGGGAGAGCTGGGGGGGCGGGCCTGAGTCCTCCGTGCTCGTGCTCGTGCTCGTCCCCCATCCTCAGAGCTCTTGGGGCACCGCCCACCCCCTCCAGGTCATCTCCTTTTCAGGGTCACCTGGGTGGGCTCCAGGGACCCACAGGCAGCCTCTCTGAGGGTCTCTGGGGCTTCTCAGTCAGGAGGGGAGTCGGGAGGCAGGAGGAAGTCTGTGTCATCGACGCCCTGCTGGCTGACATCAGGAAGGGCTTCCAGCTGCGGAAGACGGCCCGTGGCCGAGGGGACGCAGAGTGGGGCAGCAAGGCGGCCGCCGTGGACCCGCCGAGGGACAAGGCGCCTGGTGAGACCCTCTCCTGCCTCTCATCACCATTTCCCTCCTGCCATCCCTCTGCCTGCTCTCCCCCCTCCTGCAGGAAGCCCTCCCTGACCTCATAGGAGAGCCCTCCGGGCAGCTCCCTTGTTGCCTGAGAAATGGCACGGCCACGAGGTGGGGCTAGAGGGGCAGGCAGCTCGGCCTTCTGGTGCTCCCGTCGGCTGCGAGGGCCTTTGACAGGTGTCCCTGTCCCCGGGGCCCAGGGATGCTGAGGTGGTGGGAGAGGTGGGCACGGGGCCTGGGAGAGGGGCGCTCCACTCAGCGTGGCTGCTCGGTGGGGGGGCGCTCTAGGGACAGGGATGAAATCAGCCCAGTGCCCCCTGCTCGGCCACACCGTGGGCCTGCTCTCTGGGAACCCACACCTGGAGGCCACCAGGGAAGTCTCCTGGGGCTGTGGGCTCTGTAGGGCTGGTGGCATTCGGGTAGAAGCTGGGATGGACGGAGGCCTCCCCCTTGGGCACATCCTCAGGATGGTCTGGGAGTCGGGGCCCGCCCTCAGCCGCCATGTCCTGTGTCCACAGTGGCCCCCAGAGTCCCCTCAGGAGGCACCGGCTGCCCCACCTCTGAGCCCCGGGGCTGGGACCTCTCAGATGCCACTGCCCCAAGCCCGCAGCCCACTGCAGACCCGTCAGAGGAGGGCGGGCCTGGGCCCCTGGAGAGGCGTTCTTCCTGGTACATGGATGCCAGCGATGTCCTGACCACCGAGGACCCTCAGAGCCCCCAGCCTTCTCAGGGCGCCTGGCCCGTGGTGCTGGGAGGTGCGCAGGCCCTGAAGCCTCTCAAGCTCTCTGGTGACAAGCCTCCCGGGGTCAGAGGGTCGAGCCAAGATGCTGAAGACCCCACAGCCCCTGAGGGCGTCGGCCTGGCCGAGGCCGACAGCACCGTGGAGGGGCCGCCGGACGCCGCTGCCCACGGCCGCAGTGCCGACCTCCCCGCCACAGGCCCTGGCGTGGCCGGGGACGGCGACGGGGACCAGGAGGACACAGCCCCAGATTCTGCACTGGACACATCCTTGGACAGGTCCTTCTCTGAGGACACAGTCACGGACTCTTCAGGGTCCGGCACTCTCCCCAGGGCCCGGGGACAGGCCTCAAAGAGGACGGGCAAGCGAAGGAAGAAGCGTCCCTCAAGGAGCCAGGAAGGTAACTTGGGGCTCCCCTCCCGTCATCCCTCGTCCCCCGGAAGCAGGGGACCCGGGTAGGCAGGGCACATGGGGCTTGGGGGCATTGGTGTGCGACCCGCAGCGGGGCCCCGAGCCGCGGCCGGCCGTTCCCTCCTCTCCCCCCAGGAGTGGGTGACGCCCGGGACACCCCACGTCCTGCAGGAGAGACGGCCACCCTTGTGCTCGTGAGAGGAGCGGCTCCGGGAGGGGGAGCTCTGCCCTCGTCCCCACGCCCCTCGCCCGCTGGCAGGGAGTGGTGGCCGGGCGGGTGTGGCCCGGGGCTGCCTGAGACCCCGCTGTGTGTGGTGCAGCCGGTGCGCCAGCTCCGAGCTCAGGCAGGTCAGGAACAAGCCGCTGAGCGCGTCTCTCTTATTTGAAAGCAGAGGTTGTCCCTGACTCTGACGGTAGTAAAACACAAAGACTCTGTGTGATTCAGTGAGGTACGTACCCGCGCGGGCGCTGAGCACTAACAGCGCCGCAGAGGCCGCCCGCACCCCGCCCTCCCGGACGCTAACCCGCCCCCCAAGCCGCCCGGGCCTGTCTGCGAGCCTGCCCGCCTCTGCCGCTGGTGGTGGGACCCGCCTGGCTCGGCCTGCCCCCGCTCTCTGGAAGGGCAGGAGCCGTGCTTTGCTTAGCTGGTGTCTCTGCTGCGGCCCGGTGTGACCTTGGAGCTGTGCGCTGGCCAATAGGCCTCAGGTTGGGGGGGCTCTGATGGCGGGGGCGGCTTGGCCTCCTAGGCCGGGCAGGACAGACGGAGGCTGCCCCTGTCCCAAGCGGTCTGGCTAGTCCGGGGCTTTCTTGACTCCTGTCCCTCAGGGTGGCACCTTCGCTCTGAGACCTTCCATGAGGCACACCCCAGCCCTCCTCTGGCCCTTGTTGGGCCACAAATGTCCCCAGGGAGGCAGTGAGGGACAGAGACAGTCCCAGGGGCCGGCTGCCAGGGAGAAGCGGGCCACAAGCCCTCTCCAAGGAATGGACGGACCTCCCCTCCCTGGCGGCCAGGTCCTGGGGACCACAGATGGGTCTGTAGGCACATCCTGGGTCCACTGCACCAGGCCTCCCAGGACCCCCGAGTATGGGCAGGACCGTCATTGTCTCTGACGTGGCCCGAGAGGCTCACAGATGCAGACAGACAGGCCTGGGGTCCCTACTGCATTCCGGGCCATGCTAGTGGTATGCAGACCTGTTCCTCACGAGCGGGGAGCCACTTGGGTCTGCAAACACCTGCACCCAGCTCGGTGCCAGGGTGCTGTGCTGGCCTGCAGGGCCCGGGGCGCAGGACTCGGGGCATAGAGGAGAGGTCCAGCAGTGCCCAGAGGAAGCAAGGGCAGAAGCGAGGTCAGGTGCACCCCTCTTTACAGTGTATCCTCACTATTGGGTACAGCCTTTAGTCTCAGTTCCAGAGTTTGCTCCTGGGGTTACTTTCTGAGCTCGGCTCTTTGGTGGGAAACACCAGCGTGCACTAGCAAGTGGGGCCGAGTGGTCTGTGGGTTTGGGGGGCTGGCAGCCACATGTGGCCGCTGCCCAGGGAAAGATCAGTGTGCACAGCACGGCTCTGTGCTCTCGCAGGACCGCCCCCATCCTCCAGCATAGTGGTCCCGCTGCCGCGTGCTCGCTCCCCCACCCTGGGCCCCAGCATCCCAGTGGCTGGGGGCAGGAGGAAGGAATCCCACCGTCCTTGTCTCCTCAACCTTTTATTTGAAAAACTTCAACCAGACAGGGAATTTGCAAGATCATAACAAACACCACATACCCTTCACCCCGAAAGGGCAAGAACTTGCAAAAAAGAGCGAAATGATCAGCATTTGCTGCATTGCTCTCAACTTCACTAAAGGATTTGAGAGTTAGGGGCATCGTGCCACTTGAACACAGCCCCCAGGGTCTCCTGAGAATGAGGCTGCTCTCCCCAGCCCCCACCCAGCACGTTTCGGGGTCTGTCATGTGCAGCCCCAGGCCCCAGCAGGGCCCGGGCAGGGGTCCCACCTTGCCTGGTTGTTTTGGCTTGTTGGAACTGAGACACCCCCCACCCCTGGGGACCACACATCCAGCCTCTGTCTGTCTCGGGTGGCCCCCGTGTAGAAGGCACCTTCACTTCAGGGGTGTCCCACGGCTTCCCCCCCACTGCTTCCAGATTGTGTTTGGGGCAGGAATTCGACACACGTGATGTGGGTCCTCCCCAGGGCCCCTCAAGAGGGGCTTGGGCCCTTTTATCCCCTGGGTAGGGGCCTGGATGCCAATTACCTGGTTGAGGTGGTGATTTGGGAGCCCCCTGCTATGTGGTGCCCTGGCCCCGCCTTGCCCTGGGTCCTGGCACCCTGGAGGGGGGCCGACAGAAACCCTGCTCTGAATGACTTTTGACTTCTCTTCTTCTCACTTCTGTGCCCCATCTCTTTCAAGCATGATCCTCAAACGTGTCTGCCCAAGACCCACAGGGAGCCTGGAGTGGCCATGGGGGCGGGGCATTTGCAGGGAAGAGCCGAGCAAGGGGCCCTGGACCAGAGGGCTTTGATGGGCAGGGGGCCTGCAGGGCCGGTTGGGGGCGTGCACGTGGCAGGAACTGTGGAGGTGGGGCCCTAGTGCCCTCAGGACCAGAGCTGGAAAAAGACAAGTCAGGAAGCATCCAGTGTAAGGGGTGGATAGGGAAGCAACTGAGGAAGCTCCAGGGAGAGGCAGCAGTGGGGACTGATGAGGGTAGACAGTGTGGCATGGGCCTGGGCTGGGAGAGCAGGGCCTTGGAGGGTGGTAAGGGGAGAGAGCAGGGCCTCTGGTGCGGGGAGAGAGCAGGGCCTTGGGTGGGGGGGAGAGCAGGGCCTCTGGTGCGGGGAGAGAGCAGGGACTGGAGGGAAGGGAGAGAGCAGGGCCTGGGGGGAGGAGAGCAGGGCCTAGGGGGAGGGGGGAGAGCAGGGTCTGAGGGGAGGGGAGAGCATGGCAGAGGGGGGAGAACAGGGCCTGAGCAGGGGAGAGAGCAGGGCCTCGTGGGGGTGGGGCGTGAGAGTGGAGAAGGTTGGGGAGAATAGGACCTGGGTGGGGAGAGAGCAGGGCCTATGGTGGGGAAGGAGAAAAGGGCCCAGAGAGGGGGAGAAAGCAGGGCCTGTCAGGGGTTGGGGGTGGCAGGCCTGGGGAGGGGGCAGGAGAGAGCAGGGCCTGGGGGCCGTGGAGAAAGGGGGGATGAGGGGAGAGAATAGGGCCTGGTGGGGGAGAGCAGGGCCTGAGCCAGGTGAGGGAGAATGGGGTAGGGGGAGGCGGTGGGGCAGAGCAGGGCCTTGGGGGGGTGGGGGAGAGCAGAGGGGGCAGGCGGGGTGGAGAGCAGGGCAGAGGGGGAGAGAGTAGAGCCTGGGGGCTGGCGGGAGAACAGGTCCTGTGGGGAGGGAGGAGAGCAGGGCCTGGTAGGGGGTGGAGAGCAGGGCCTGGGGGGGGGTGGAGAGCAGGGCCTGGGGGGGGGGGTGGAGAGCAGGGCCTGGGGGGGGGGCAGGCCCAGAGATCCAGGTGGACAAGAGCCAGCTGGCTGGGGGTCATCCCAGCACCTTCCACCTGGAAGAGTCTTGCTGCTCAAGAGCAAGGGCCTAGGGTCAGCGTGGACCGGGGAGACACAGCCAGGCCACCAGGCCATGGTGACGGGACCACAGGAGCCTGGGGACCTGGAAGCAGGCACCTTGGCACTGTCCCCAGCAAGTCTGCTCCTAACGATGCCATTTCCTCTCGCTCCCCACAGGCCTCAGCCTTAAGCCCAAAGCCAAGTGAGCGTGCCCGCGGCCGGCCCCCGCACAGCAGCGGGCCCCTGGACGTGCTGCTGAGTGGGGCTCCTCCAGGGCCAGGCTGGAACTGGGCCCCTGAGAAACCAAAACTCTGTGCCTTACCCTCCAGGGAGGTGGGCCTCCCAGAGCTGCTTGGGGGCACTGTGGCCGAGACCCCAGCAGGCACCAGGGCCCGGCCCCCCGGCCCCCTCCTGGACAGCCTGCACGCCCCCAGCCCTCTGTGGTCTGCTTTCTGAATGCCAATGCCCACGCCTGCACCTGCATGCACCACAGCACCCCCACGGGCACGTGGGCGGTGCCTGTGTCCCCAGGGCGCCTCTCAGCTTGCGCCCTGCCCTCCAGCCACCTGGCACCCAGATGCTTCTAGAGACAGGCCCTCGCAGACCTCAGACCTCTCCCCACAAAGCCATGGGAGCCAGGCAGAGCTGGAGCCCCCACACCCCTGCCCGCTGCCTCCTTACCCAGCCCCGGGCCCCTGCTCCCAGCTCTGCCTCTCAACTGGTTTGGCTGGGCTGGAACTGAGTGGATTTTAACTGAAAGAGGATTGTTTATGCATCTCTGCTCTTCTGGGGTAGCTGAGTTGGGCATAGGTGGCGGGGGGAGGACCCTAGGGCCTGGGGTAGGGGCAGGCTGGCCAGCATCACCACGAACAGGCCATGGTCCCCCCGCTCAGCAAACGGAGGGCGCCTCCCCCCGGGGCTGGCCCCCCTCCCGGTACACCCAGCCCTGGCTGCCACGGCCGGGGCCTGGCCACCTTGTCGCCAGAACGACTCTCCCTACCGCTGCCTCCTCCAGAGGGACCGGGCTCTCCCCGCGCTGGGCTGAGAGGAGGCCGAGGACCCAGGCCTGGCGGCTGCCAGCTCCCCCTGCCCCACCCCTGCCCCAGGCGTGTGCTCCCGAGGCTGGCGTCTGAGAGGCTCAGACCAATAAAGAAGAAAAGAGCTGGCCCCGGGAGCGGCGGCGTGGCGTTTAGGAGCAGCGGGCAAACGTGCAGTGACCTCTCCCAGCGGCTGTGCGGACGCGGGCCTGCCTGCTCCCAAAACACCCCCAGGACCGGAGCAGAGCAGGTGCCAGACAGACCCCAGAGTGGGGGCGAGGGGAGCCCAGAACGTCCATGCAGAAATCTCACCCGCGGAGTCTTCAGCGGATTTACAAGGCCTTCAAGCACCGTGATCCAGTTCTAGAATATTCCATCATCCCCCCGAAGTTCCCTTAGCAGCCACTCCCCATGCTGCCTCCCCCAGCCCCCAAATCTGCTTTCTCTCTCCATAGATTTGCTTTCTGTGGACGTTTCCTATAAATGGAGTCCCGCTACGTGGCCTTTCGTGGCCGGCTTCTCCTACGTAGCGTGTTCTCGAGATTGACCGTGTTGTAGCGTGTGTCGGGACTCCACTCCTTTTTGTGGCAGAGTGGGATTCGCCGTCTGGGTGGGCCTCGCCCTGCCTCACGGCGTGGACGCCGCCAGGGGGGTTTCCGTGGGAAGCTGCTGCGAATATCCGCAGGCCGGTCTGCGTGTGGACTTGGGTTTTGGTTTCTCACAGGCCGGCTCGGTAACTGTGTAGGAAACTGCGAGGTGTCTTCCAAAGCGGTGGCCCCGTGTTGCACTCAAGGATGTGAGCCCCTGTGCAGACATCTGAGGGCTCTGCGTCCGGGCCCACCGCGCGTGAGGTGGTCCGCGGGGCGCTGTGGCCCAGGGTGGAAGCCCCAGCTGGCTGAGCCCACCCGCTCCCACCAGGAGCCCCCCAAGCTCGGTGACCTGTACTGCCCCTACCCCGGTGACAGGCCCACGGTGCACAGGCCGCCGCAGGGGGGACGTGTTCTAATTCCGGAGAGGCCGTGTGACAGGCCGGACCCAGCTGCCGGGCCGGGACAGGGCTGTTTATAGAAAAGCCTGACTCCCCCCCAGGCCCGCCGGCTATTTATAGACCTGGGCTTGGGGGAGTTGGTGCCCCTACCGGCCAGCATCCGGCCCTGCAGATCCCGTGTGAACCCCCATGGTGGCCCCCTTAGCCCCAGTCTCCCCAGGAAGGGCCCCCAGCCAGCACCCCCCTTCCGCAGAGGGAAGCACCCCGTCTGACGGGACTCCGGCACATGTCCCTCCCCTCCGCGGCTCCAGTGGGCATTCCAGCCGCTCAGCAAACAACCCTTCCCGCCTTCTTGCTCCCTTCTGCCACCAGCCCGCCTTTTCCTTGTCTACACAGCCAGCCTCTGCTCCAGCTCCACTCCCACCACCTCACTCCCAGAAACACCCAGGCCACAGCCGGCCACCCAAGGCCTGCTCGCCCTGGCCTGCCTTCGAAACATTCAGAGCCCAGAGTCTCAGGCCCTCCTGCCCCTGTTCAGCCACTTCCCACGGGCTGGCAGTGGGGGGTGGGGGGAGCGGGGGGTTGCTGTCACCCAGGAAGGCCAAGGACACAAAGCCTGCCCCTCACACCCCACTTACCCCTGCATTATGGTGTTTGCCCCACGGCGATGCCGGGAGAAAGGAACTGGTGGGGTCCCCATGTGAGAGAAGAGGGTCCGGGACCCAGAGGGGTCAGAGCCAGGGTCCCAGCAGGAGCCCAGGGGAATGTAGGAAGGGAACAGGAGGAGAGGACTAAGGAGAGCGGGCTGGCAGAGCCGTCCTCTGCTGGGACTCTCCATGAGTGACCTCTGTGTGACTACTCTCCTCCTCCATGGGAACTTCTGGTCTCCCCGTGGGAGCCCAAGGAGCCCAGCGGCTCTCTGAGCCCTGGCCACAGGCTAATTGCTGGGCTCCGGGTCCCTCTGTACTGAGACACTCCTCCCACCAGAGAGGGGACAGGGGCTCCTGGCCCTGGAGGGAGGGGCCCATAGCGCACGCCTGCCCCCAGGGGTCCATCCCTCGCCCCTTCTCCCAGTGGGGCTAGCCATGTCCACACCCAAGTCCACGTGGGACGTCGGGGGACCCGGGTGGGCCAGACGGGAGCCCCGCAGACTGTTGCAAATCCTCTCTGGAAGCCCTGTCCCTCCAGAGGCAGGCCAGGAAAGGAATCTGCTGTGGGGCCTCTTGGGGACCCTGGTTGTGCGGGGCTGGTGAGCATCCCCGGCTGCTTCTCTGCTGGCCAGGTGGCCGGCCATCAGGCGTCCTGTCCCCCTGGATTCTAGGGTCCTGCAGCAGCCTGGTGGAAACTGCGAGCCACTCCAGGCAGGCACGTTGGTCCCGCCACTCCCTGTCCTATGCTGGACACTGAGCCCCTGAGAGTATGGGTGGGGGCGCTGGGGGAGGGGGCACACTGTCCTCTCTCTCCTTGGCCAGCAGAGCACGCGCATGGGCCCTGGGCCGAGGTTCGCCTCAGGGCCCGTGCCCACCCCAAAGTCCCAAGGATGCAGACCCGCCAGGTGGAGTGTGAAGACATGGCCCCCTCTCCCACCCTGAAGAGGGCCCCCCAAGTTTCTAAAACCCTGAGGTGCTGGGCCTGGAGTGGGGCAGCACAGGGGTCCCCATTAGGGTTCCCGAGGGAGAAACCTGGCTGGCGCGGCTCACCGGCTATCCCTGTGCCCCCACCCCCAGAGGTAGGTGCCCGGGGCCCAGCTCGGCTCCCCGGTGGGGGCTGGGCTGGCGGGGGCGGGACCCGGCAGCAGAGGTCACCCAGAGGCGCCACTGCGCCCGCCGGGCCCGCCCCCGGCCCGCCCCCCTGCCTTGGGCCGGCTTCTTTTAGTGGCGGCGGCGACAGGGCTGTCCCGTGGCCCAGCACAGCAGAGGAGTGACCAGACCAACATGTTGGGGACTCGCGCCTCCAACGACCGGCCCCCCGGCCCCGGCGGCGTCAAGCGGGGACGGCTGCAGCAGGAGGCGGCGGCCACGGGCTCCCGGGTGACCGTGGTGCTGGGCGCGCAGTGGGGGGACGAGGGCAAAGGCAAGGTGGTGGACCTGCTGGCCACGGACGCCGACATCATCAGCCGCTGCCAGGTGCGGGGCCCCCCACCCACCCAGCAAGCCCCCTCCTCCCCTTGCACCCAGGGGCCCTGACCTCCCTGTTCTCCCGCGCCCTGAGCTGGACACGCCTCTTGGATAGCTCCCCTTCCTGGACTCCCTCCCCCCACCCCACGGCCACCGACCCCTCTGCACGCACACTCTCCCCTCCCCCGCTCCCTCCCCGGGGACCGCCTTCCCCACCCAGCCCCACCCCTCCAGGCAGTGGGCCAGGGAGGAGCTATAAATACCTTAGCTGAGTTGGGGACACCCGATCTTCAGGGCGGGGGGGGGGGGGGGGGGGGGGGGGGGGGGGGAGTGCGCCATGGGTGTGACACTGGGCCCTCCGGTGTGGGGGTGGGGTGGGTGAGGCCCCCAGCTCCTGGCTGTCGGGGTCTGGCACAGGGCTGGCCACGGGGTGGCCCTGGGGGGCCAGCCAAGAGGACGCAGAGGCTAGGGCAGGACAGTGGGCCAGGACCCGAAGGAAGACAGGCCAGGGACGAGGAGGGTCCCCGGCCGGACTGGGGTGGGGGGAGAGGGAGGGGCCACGGATGGCTGGCCAGGGTGACCCAGCGGCTGGCGGTGCCACCAGGGAGGCCAGACACAGGCTGTGTCCCCAAGGGCCCAGGGAGGCCACTGCCAGCTGTGGGCTGCCCTGGGCGGAGCCACGCCCCTATGCCGGGGCTGAGAGCCGCGCTGCTGCTGGGCCGACTTAGAGCCCCGGGCACAGGGGACAGCTTTAGGGTGCATGCTTTGGCATGCAGTTCCCTGTCTGGTCTGTGGCCTCGTTTCCCAGCTCCTGCCCGGAAGGCTAGGGCCGGGGCACACCCCCGGGGAAGGAAATGGGCCCAGCGCTTGGCTCAGGGAACAGCCAGCCGCTATCTGGGCCACTCCTCTCGATGCAGACAGTGGATTCCTGGAAGGAGCTTCCTGGCAGCGTGAGAGACCTCCCACCCCTCTGCCCTTAGCCAGGCGAGCAACCCACTCCTGGCCGGACAGCCCCCAGTGCCAGAGGCGGTCTCCGGGCACCCTGCTTCATGGGCTGGGGGCCTTTGCCCCCCCGCAGCCGGGCACACGGTGCCAGCACTCTCCATGTACCCTGCTGGCTCCAGTGAGCCTCACAGGTCTATCTGTGGCCCCTCTCCCTTCTGAAGAGCCTGGGCGGGCTTTGCAGGCCCTCCTGGCCACAGAATGGTTCTGGAGTGGGGCCTCCCTGCTCTGCCACCTGGGTCAGCAGGACAGACCGGCCAAGCACCGAGCAGGCTGGAGCCCCATCACCTGACCTGGGGGCCCACTGGGCACCTTCGCCCCGAGGTGACTTCTCAGACTGAGATCAGATGTGTCTCCGCCTGCAGGAGCCCCGGCTGACCTCACAGTGGGGATAATCGTGGGCCGCCTTCTCCAGCCTCCCGACAGTGGTGAAGCAGGGAAACTGAGGCCCAGAAAAGTTGAGGAATGAGAAGAAGCAGCATATGTGGGCCCTCACGTGTGCCACGCATCCATCGAGCCAGGACGGGGTGTCAGGATGCATAGTGAGGGCCCCGCGCTGGCCCTAGGGAAGGCTGCCTCTTACCTAGAGTGTGTGCATGAAGCTCCCAGTCACAGCCGCGGGTGCCCAGAGCCAAATGCAGCCCTGACCCCAGGAGCCGGGCAGCACATGGGAGCAAGGGGCCCCAGGAAGCGGGCAGCGGGGCACGTGCAGTGGGCAGGAGTCCCGCCTGGGTGGCTGCCTGGAAGGGCTGAAGCCGGCCAGCCCCAGTCACCAGAAGGGTCACCTGGCCTGTCACTCGGGCCCGGGCCGTCCTGAGTGGCAGCTGCATGCCCCACAGCTGCTGGGCTCCACTCCGCCTCTGCTGACCCCCACCACCCCTCCTCCCATTCAGCACCCCTCTGAAGCCCTTTGTGGCCCTCAGTGGTCTGGGGCCAGGCCCACCTGCACCCCCACAGCTGTCCTGGTTTCTTTCCCATCAATCATGTGGGGCCTGTGGTCAGCACCCCAGGACTCCCCCACCGCCTTCCCGACGGTCCAGGGTCTCGGGCTTGGGTCCCTCCTGCTGTTTTCTGTGCTTTTGGGGGGGGCAGCCTCCCCTTCTCACTACACCGACCCCGCACGGTCCACCCTCCCCTGCCGTTCCCATGGCACCCCCAGCCACTCTTTGTCTACCCCCAGTGCTCTGGGTGTGTGGGGGCTGCTCTGGGGCGCCTGGGGTCAGGGCTTGGCCGGGAAGGCCCCCCTTTGCTCGTTGCGGTGCAGGCTCCCTCTGGGCCGTGTCACGGCGCCCCTGGGCACCACTGCTGGCCTCCAGGGGTGCTGGCAACCCTGTTCTCTGCGGTGACTTTGCACAGACAATCGGGCTGTGAGGTCTGCCCACCCTGTCTTCGGAGTCCACACACCTCCACTGGGCTCTGTCCTTCTGCGTCTGCCAGCATCCTTCCCTCGACCCTCTCCCCAGCCCGGAGTCGGCTCCAGTCCCGTGTAGCCTGCTGCTCACGCCCACCCTTCCTCTGTTTCCAAAGTTACTTTGGCCAGAAGGCTCTGGGGCTGCCCAGGACTGCCAAGGTCGGAGTTTGGAATTCCCTCCTTTGCAACTGCAGTGTGAATGGTCCTGGAGCTCCACGCGTGACTGTGCTCGGTACAAGGGTGCTGTGTTTCTTTCGGTTTCCACCACAGTCTCCATGCAACCACCCCATCTGGGGGGGGCCGTGTCCAGCCGGGGCCATGTCCTCTGATGGCAGTGGTCACCCAGCGGTGGCTCGAGAGGAGGGGCCTCCCCAGCTCACACAGCCCTTTGTGGCCGTGGGAGCGTCTGCCCTGGGCAGCTGACCCTGCATACCCACCTGGAGCCCCTGAGCTCTCCCTCCTGCCCCAGTGCCCTCTGAGCGGAGGGCAGCTGTGGTTGGGGTTGAACGAGTGAATGGGGCAGACAGTAGATGAGGTAAAGCACTGCATAGGTGGGTGGACTGCAGGTCTCCCCACCGACAGGCGGGGGGTGGGTCACCAGTGTCTCCACCCTGAGAGCAGGCCCCTTGCTGTGTGTCGCCCAGGACCCAGACTCAGCCAGACCCCACAGCACCCAGGGCTGGCCAGGAACCTTTCCACTGCCTCTGAGAAGCTGCCCCCCTCCCCTGCTCACCTCCCTGCTCCTTTTGTCCTCGTGCCCGGCACTCAGACCAGGGCTGGGGATGGACGCGGGCAGATGAGCTGGACCCGAGCAGGTCCCTCTCCCAGTGAGCCAGACGGGGGAGGTCAGCAGGCTCTGTGGCTGCAGGGGTGGGGGGTGGGGCTGTCAGAGAAACAAGATCAGGAATGTCGGGGAGAGTCTGGAGCTCACAGGCCTGGGGCCCCTCAAAGCTGATGGGGAGGGGGGCGGTGCTGCATCCCAGGACAGACAGCCAGGCTGGTGCCCCCCAGGGACCAGGGCCGAGGGGGCACTGTGGCCAAAGGAGCCGTCCAGAACAGCATGGAGACCCGTGTCCTTGGGGGTCCAAAGAGAATGGGGGGGCCTGGCAGGTCAGAGGTCAGCGGAGGACGACAGCAGGGTGCTGGGGATGAGGGCCGGTAGAGGAGGGCAGGAGCGGGACGGATGTTGGCCAGCATGGGAGACAAGGCATGCAGAATGTGCTCCACCAGGGAGCCTCGCGGAGCCGCGTACGTGTGGAGAGGGCCTGGCAGGGGGATGGCCGCAGCTCCGGCGGAGCGGGGGTGGGCGCCCCAGGGGCGTCCCTGAGCCCCTTGCGCTGCCCCCAATGCACACTCGCAGCCCACCGCGCCCCACCCGGTTGGCCCCAAGGAGGTGGAAGCCCCTGACCGGCGAACGGAGACCCTCTGAGCCAGCTGAGCCCACCCGTCATCGTCCCGAGGCCTGCGCCGGCAGGTGCCAGACCACACTTGGGGACCGAAGGCCTGGCCTTCACAGGGCCCAGCTGCCTGCCCTGGCTGCTGCCGGAGCAGGTCCCTCAGCCCGGGACGGCCCCCAGGAGACGCGCTGTGGGAGATTCAGGGGCTCCGCAGAGGGCGGCACGGGGGAGAGGGGCAGGAAGATGGCTCTCACAGGCTCTCTGTCCCCCAGGTTTTGGGCCCCAGTGGGGCATCAGAGCTGGCTCTCAGGGCCCACAGCCTCGAGGTGCCAAGGAGGGTGGCTGAGGCCACGCTCTCTAGGTGCCGGGTGGGGACCGGGGAGACGGTCTGCACTGTGGCCCACGGCCACCGCTCACACTCCGGCAATAGGCCATGTGTGTATCTCCCTGCTGGGCCTGGGCCCCGCTGGACTCCTGCAGGGACAGGAAGGATCAGAGCTGGCCAGGCTCCTGAGTGGGCCAGCCTTGGCCGTGGTCCTCTTCCTCTGTCCAGGAGTGAGAGAACCCCGTTTCTTAGATCCCTGCCTCCGGGGAGGCAGCTGGCTGGGGCGTCCATGAGGTTCGGGCAGGAGTGGTGGGAGTGGCTTCAGGGTCCGTGGTGGGTCCAGAGCTGGGCCGGACCCAAGGCTCCACTGCAGAGGGAGGACCTGGAGGCAGGCAGAGCCCCTGAGGGGCCACACCAAGCCCTGCCTCTGTGCCCAGCTCCCGCCTGACTTGGCCTGTCCCCAGGGGCACAAAGGCAGGGGGAGGTCAGCTCCAGGGAGCTGTGGGGCAGACAGCGAACCTGAGGTCTGGGACAGTCCTCGCTCACTCTCCCAGGGCACAGAGCATGGAACCTCCAGAACCTGCCCCCCTAGGACAGGGAGGCTGAGAGCCGCCCAAGAGGCAAAGGTGGCCAGGCTGGGCCGGACATTCGCACCGTCCCTCACTGGGGCCCTGGACAAGCTCCTCCCTCCACGTGGTTTTCCAAACGGGGCTGGAGCTGCACCCCCAGCCCGACGGCCCCCTGGCCCGGCCCTCCTTGGGCCTGCAGATGGCAGCTGGCAATTGGGCTAAAGCCTAAGGAGGGCAGTGGGGTGTTCCTGCCCCCACCTCGCCACCTGCCCGCATGCCACCCGGGTGGCGGGACAGACCAGGGTCTCTCTGGGACAGTCACCCTGGACCTCGGCAGAGCTGCTGGGAGGTGCTCCCTGCAGGTCAGCAGGCCCTGGGCTCGGCATCCTGGGGCAGGCTCGTGCCCCTGTGAGTGGACTGTGGTCTGAGGCCTGGGCCCTTCAGCTGGCCGGGGTCATCTGATGCCCACTGGCCCGCGATGGCCTGTGCCTGTTCCTGGTGCCTGTGTTTACCCCAAACAGAGGTAGGGGTGTGCTCAACAGTGCTTCTGGTCTGTGTGTGTGTCCTTGGGCCAGCTGACCTTGGCACTGGGCGCTGGGAGAGCAGGGCCGGGGGTGGGGGTCTGCCTCTGAGGCTGAGCCCACTGCCTCCCCTCCACCCCGTCTGCCCCACTCCATCAGTGTCTGCTCTTTCCCTTCCCTCCGGCAGCCCCTCTGGGGTCCCTTCCCCAAGCCTCCTCTCCGTGGCAGCCCAGCCCGCTCACCTCCCACTACCATCTCCGTCCTGAGCCCCCGAGGCCTGGTGCTGCCTGTCCACCCTTGCTCGTGGGGCGGCCCCCTAGGCTCCCAGGCCCCCAGCACCCCCTTTGTCCTTCCCGTCTGCTCCCCACAGAGCAGCCCATCCGTTTCCACCATCGTTCCCTCAGAGGCTGCGGTCAGTTCCCACAGCCAACGACCTGGGAGTCCCAGGGCAGCTCGGCCCCCACTGGCCATGGGGAAGCCCAGGGACATGGCACAGTCATGCATCAGGGCCATGGGGTGCACACCTGGACTGCGGTGGCCTCGGGAGTCTGTCAGAGACATCCTCCACGCCGTGTCGGAGGTGGTGGGAGCAGCCCCACACGGACCTTCCACATGCACCCCGGACACTCAGTGCTCGGCCGTCTGGGGCCCTCCGTGGACCCGGCTTCTGGCAGGAACATCCTGGGCAGCTGGTAGAGCTCACGGGGCTGAGCCCGGAGTGAAGGGGTGTTGTGGAAGTCAGGGAGATGCGTTAGGGGAGGGCCCCACTACTTAATTTACCGATGCATGATGTGAGGTCCAGGAGGGAAAGCCCTTGGCCTGGCGTCTCTGGTGTCCGCCCCTCGCTGTCCCCGGGCGCCCTGCCACCCCCCTGCCTGGGCTGTTTGGGTGGAGGAGCCAGGAGATATAAATCTCAACCAGATGCTCCGTGAGGAACAGGTGCTCCCGGTGAGGAGGAGGGGGGAGGAGGCCACCGTCATTCAGCCCTGCCTGGGGTGGGCAAGACTGAGGCCGCTAAGAGCCAGCTGCCCAGCGCCCCCCTCTTCGAGGCAGGAGGACAGTGGGGTGTGGTAGGGAGTGGGCCTTGTCCGTGGAGAGGCCCTGTGGATAAGCCAGTGTTTCTGCGGGAGCTTAGGGCAGGAAGGAGGGGCTGGGCTGGGCCCAGAGCACCGGGCACCGGCCAGCATGCTTCCCCACCCAGGGGCAGCCCCGAGGGTCCGGTGCCGCACACCCTGGGGGCCCACAGTGCCCTCTGCTCATGGGAACAGCAGAATGAGCATCCCTCCTGGGGCTGGCTCTCCTTGGGCTCCCCTCAACCCCCTCAGCCAGCCCCAGCCCACCATCAGCAGCAGTTCCAAAAAGAAAGGACCCTGTCACCCAGGTATCCCCCAGGACAGGGCTAGACTCAGAACCGTGTTTTCCTTTTTATTCTTAGATGGGAGGCACAGGCCCAAAGGGAGCAGTCCCTGCTCAGGGGGCGAGGGGCGCTGGTCCCACTGGCCAGTGACTACACCTGTCCCTCCCCCCGCCCCAGATGACAGTGTTGCCTAGCCCCCCCCCCCCCGCCACCACGGAGCTTGGGTTGTGGGGGCCTGGGTTTGTGCTTCTAGGAGAAGTTGGCCCCCTCATTCCTTCATCAGAGGACGGACCTCCAGAGGGGCTCATAGGCGGGGCCTCTGCCAAGCCAGCCTCCGTGGGGCGTCGGCCTGTGCCCACGAGAGATGGTCCAGGGCCGGGTGCAGGTGTGGGGAGGGCGGGACCAGCCAGGGCCAGGCCCCCTCCAAGCCAGTCCGCTGGTCAGGGCCCTGCACCTCATCCGTGGCCTGGGTCACTAGCCTGGAGCACCCCAGGCACGCCTCAGAGCCAACCGCGGCACCAGAGGCCCCAAGTCCAAGCGAGGACAGCATCTTGTGCACCCTGGGGGACAGAACCACCGCCTAAGCCACCTGTGTTTGGAGCTGGTCCACAGTGAGGCTGGACGGGCCCTCCCAGGGCAGGTCCAAGCCCTGCAGCTCCTGCATACTCAGCGGGCTTCTGTTCCTAGGGGGGCAACAACGCTGGCCACACCGTGGTGGTGGACGGCAGGGAGTATGACTTCCACCTATTGCCCAGCGGCATCATCAACACCAAGGCCGTGTCCTTCATCGGTGAGTGCCAGCAGCCGGGGGTCCCGCGTGTGTCATCCAGCCCAGGGCCCCCCCGCAGGTGGGCCTGGACCCGGCAGGAGAGCCAGGCTGGCCCACGGGCCTGGTCTGGGAGCCGGTCCTGGGAGCCGCCAGCCTGGGCGGGAGGGAGAGGGGGCGGGGAGCCCCGCGGAGCGGTGTGTGCGAGCTTGTTTGCATGTGAGGGAGTGAACGTGAGTGGGCGTGAGTACGTGCAGGTGTGCGTGTGCGTGTGCGCACAGGGGCAGGGGCCAGACTCCGCTGCATGGGTGGAAGCCCAGCCTGCGGGCTCCCCGGCCTCCCCCTTCCCACAGCACTCCCTGCCCTTCCGGGGGCGCCCGGCCTCTCTCTCTCTCTCTCTCTCTCTCTCTCTCTGCCCCTCCCTCCCTCCTGGCCTCCAGGCCGGACCTCCTGTCCTGCCCTCGGCTCAGCCTGAGCCTCCCTGCCCAGAGCCGCCCCGCCCCGCCCCAGCCAGGCGGCCTGACGCCCTCCCGCGGCGTGCAGGACTATTCGTCGGGCTCCTTGCACGACTTAGCAAGACCACCCTCGTGGCTCATCTGCCCCCGCCCCTCCCTGGTTGCGAAGCTTGGTTGTGCAGCTGCAGGTGTGCCCAGTGAGGGCACAGGGCTGGGCGACGGGAGGCAAGTGTCGCTGAGGGGCCGTGTGCGGTCGGACTGTGCAGGAGGACACACCGGGGCCGCTGCAGTGGGCGAGGACAGCACGGTGACCTCCCGCGGTTCGCCCGGGGTGGGGGCCCGGGGTGGGGCTCTGCTGCAGCCTTCTCCAGGCCCAGCCTCGTCCGCTGGGCCCTGGGCCCCACCTGGTGGGAAACGAGGCCAGGGAGGCCCGCTTGATGAGAGGTCTCCGTCTGAGAAGCCGGGGTGGGTCAGGGCCAGCAGCTGGAGCCCAGGCTGGGTGGTCCCCGGGGAGCATCGCGGGGGTCAGCTCGGCCAGCCCGGCCGGCAGCGTGCTCAGCCGGGGGCGAATGTGCCAGAACTCACACAGCTGCCCCTTGGCTCGCGACATTCCCGGGGACCCTGCCACGTGGTCATTTCAGGACGCCCTGGCATTTAGGTGACCTTTTGTACTCGGTGTGGCTTGCACAGTCTGAGCCACTCCCATCTGGACCCATGTCCTGTCTCCCTCGGCCGAGCTTGTGCCACCGGCAGCCCTGGGGGGGACCGGGGCCAGGGGGGCTCCTCCTGGGAAGACAGCAGGTGGCCTGGCCCAGCCGCCTTCGGTCTAAGAGAAAAGGGCTCGCATTTCGCTTCAGCCTGGACCCCACACTAACATGCTGTGTGACCTGGGGCGGGTCACCTTCCTTTTCTGGGCCTCAGCCTCTGCCCCTGTGAAACTATGTGGATCGCACTTCAGTGTTGTATGGATAGGGAGGGCCCGGGTCCCCAGAGGCCCTGCCCGGGTCCCGGGAAGGGTCGGGGGCTGCGTGTCTCCTGCTTTCCCATTTTCACACCATTCACATAGACTGTACCAGCTTAACTGCGGTATAATTTATGTGCCATGACATTCAACACAATTCAGCTCTGGAGCACCGTCCTCACTCCAAGAAGTCCCCTCTGCCATTTGCCGGCAGCCCTGCCACCGCAGCCTCCGCAAGCTCTCCTCTGCTCGCGGGCTCTGCACACGCTCCCCATGGCTTTGGTTTGGTTTGGGGCCATTTCTTCCACTGTCGTGAGTATGCACAACAGAAATTTTCCATCTTTGCCATTTCTAGGCATAGAGCCCGGTGGCATGAAGCACATTCACGCTGTTGCACACCCACCCCCACTGTCCGTCTCCAGAACTTTCCATCTCCCCAACCTGAAACTCTGTCCCCCTTGAACACTAACCCCGGCCCCCTCCCCAGCCCCTGGCGCCCCCCTCTACTTCCTGTCCCTGTGAATCTGACTCCTCCAGGGACCTCCTATGAGTGGAATCACACAGGGTGTTTGTCCTTTGGTGACCTGCCTGTGTCACTTGGCATAGTGTCCTCAAGGTCCGCCCATGTTGTAGCAGGTGTCAGAATTCCCTTCAACGTAAGTCGCCGTGTCCGCTGCACAACTCAGTCCCCTGTGATGTGTTGCAGGCAATGGGGTGGTCGTCCACTTACCCGGCTTGTTTGAAGAAGCAGAAAAGAATGAGAAGAAAGGTAGGTCCGAGTGCCCGCACGCGCACCCTGGCCCAGGCAAGTTCCTAGCAGCGTGGTGGCCAGGGCCTCCCGTGTGGGTTCTTGGTAGGGGTCAGTTTCCCCAGCCCAGCAGTCCCCCACCCACCTCCTGCCCACTCTGCCTGTGCAGAAAGCTGGGTCTGCACTCGGGATGCGGAGAGCAGGGCAGCCCAAGGCCCCAAAGTCTGGCTGTGGGTCTCAGTGTTTATGGGGAGCTTTCACGACACTGGGGACAGGTGGCATCTGGAGGGTCCCACTCAGGAAGTCTGGAAGGGGCCCTGGGACCTAGAATTTGATGAAGCTCCCCAGGACACCTGGATGTCTGGCCGAGATTGGGGAGCACTGGGCCGACCCCACCTACAGGGAAGGATGTGGTTCCTAGGGGCTCCTGGGGGCTCCTGGGGGCAGGCAGCAATGGAGGCCACCAGCCAGGGTGTCTGGGCCAGCTGCCCCCCTGGAAAGGTTGTCTAGAGGTGGAGCCCCAAGACCCTGATGGGGTCCAAGAAGGAAGCGGGCCTCAGCCTCAGGGCTCGAGTTCAGGACAGGAGTGAAAAGAGCCAACAGGAAACTGACCCTGGGCATGAAGCGCCAGGACAGAGGCCCCGCAGGGAGAGGTGGGGGGTGAGATTCCAGGGCCCTCAGCAGGGAGAGAGGCCACATGTGACCTTTGTGGACTCTTGCCCTGGGTGGGGGCTGGGCCAGCTGCCCAGCCTTGGCCACCTTGCCCGTGACGGCTGACCGCCTGCCGCGTGACCGCAGGTCTGAAGGACTGGGAGAAGAGGCTTGTCATCTCCGACCGCGCCCACCTCGGTAAGCACACCCGGGCTGGGTGCAGGGCCGGTGCCACCCACCCGCCGTGGGAACCACCACCCCACAGTGGCCCTCCTCCCCGGCGTGCTGAGCCCACGTAGCTCCATGAAATTCCAAGTGGGCAGTGGGTCGGAATCACAGTCCCCAGTTGCAGATGGGAAAACGGAGGCCCGAAGGGCCTCCCGGGCACGTGTGAGTCTGTGCTGGGCAGAGGCAGAGTCCAGTGTGTCCCCTTTCAAACTGGACCACCTGTCCCGGGCAGCCCGGGCGTGCACAGGGGAGCCCCATAACCCTGTGTCTGTCTCTCGCTTGGGGACACTCACCTGGCCGCGCAGTGTTTGATTTTCACCAGGCGGTCGACGGGCTGCAGGAAGTGCAACGGCAGGCCCAGGAGGGCAAGAAGTGAGTATATCCGGGGCTTCTCTTGTCTCGCTGGCCTTCGAGTCTGGGAGCTCTGGGGTGTGCCAAGAGGGGAACGGGGTCCCACTGAAGCCACCACGACCACGGCAGCCCAGCCCAGCTGACCACAGACATGGGCCACCCAAACCCTTGCCCCACTAAGCACCCAGGCCATTCCCTCGTCCTCCAAAGATATTTATGAAAATGTGCCGAGCACTGGTTCTCCAGGCGAGGACAGGGTGCAACCGTGGCCATCCTGCCCCATTAAGTGGCACGCTCACTTGCCACCCACGTGTGTGCATGCACTCCCACGTGTGTGCACACTCAGACTCTGCACACTCACTCACACACAAGTATGCCAGGCGGCAATGCTGAGCAGGCCATTCACCGAGCCTGGGGCTAGGGCAGTGGCAGGCAGTGGGCACAGGGTGGGCATGGCCAGCGCGCCCAACCCCCAGGAGGCGGCAGCCGGCACACGTGGACAGGCGCATCCTCAGCGCCCGGCCAGAGGGAAGCCGGGGCCCAGTGCAGACAGGATGTCTCAGAGCCAAGGCATGGAATGACGGGAGGGTTTCGGCTGGCCCAGAACCGCCGGCGGGGCCCAAGCCCCCGGATCCCTGACAGCCAGCCAGCGGAGGGGGCCAGTGGGCTCTCGTAGCCATCCCAGACTGCAGGTGCTCCTGCTGGGGAGGGCCCCTCCCAGGCCCCCGGGCCGGGCCCCCCCGGCTCACGGCCGCCCCCTGTCTTTCAGTATCGGCACCACCAGGAAGGGGATCGGACCGGCTTACTCTTCCAAAGCTGCGCGCACGGGCCTCCGCGTCTGCGACCTCCTGTCGGACTTTGACGAATTTTCCGCCAGGTACCTGAGCCGCCCGAGGGGGGACTGTGGCTAGTGCTGAGGGCGCGGACCCCCAGGCGGGGCGAGGGGTCGCAGTCACTGTCGCCCCCGCAGATTCAAGAACCTGGCCCGCCAGCACCAGTCCATGTTCCCCAGCCTGGAAGTGGACGTCGAGGGGCAACTCAAAAGGCTCAAGGTAGAGCAGGGGCGCGGGCGGGCCGGGGGCGGGAACGGGGGCGGGAACGGGGGCGGGGGGGGCGGTCTAGGTCGGGTGCGGGCCGGGGGTGGGCAGGCGGGGCATGGCGCGGTGGGGGGAGCATGGCGGGGGAGGGTGCGACCGGGTGCAGCGGGGTGGGGGGCGTGGCAGGGCATGGTGGGGGCGGGGCGGAGCCCAGCGGGGAGGGGGCGGGGCGCGGCGGGGCGCGGCGGGGGCGGGGCGGGCAGCCCCCACCGGGGCACCGCAGCCTTGCCAGACGCCCAGGCAGCACTCAGGGAGCGCACTGTCCCAGGCACTGCTATGGGGTGGCTGGCCCTCTTGGGGACCACAGGCCCCCTGTGCAAGCCCAGGCCAGGGAGGGCAGGAAGGTTTCCCCCGCCCCCAGGCCAGGGGACATTTCCCAGGACAGGCTGGGGAAAGAGGCTGTCCCTGTCCTATTTGGGGTAGCTGGTAAAGGTGGCCTTGCTGACTCGTAGAGGGTCAGTGCAGTGTCAGGGATGGGATGAGGAGAGCACAGAGCCTTTCTGGAAGTTTCCAAGGCTGGGCTCCTGGCTCCTCCCAGCCCTCTTAGGGGAGCTGTGAATGAGGACAGGGCCAGACCAATGAAGACGTCAGTCACACTGGATTAGGGCCCACCATAGCGACCTCAATTTAATCCCCCCTTTGAAAACCTGTCTCCAAATACAGTCATGTTCTGAGATGCTGGGGGTCAGGACTTCAACAGATGAACCCGGGAGTCGGGGCGGGGGGGGGGACAATTCAGCCCATGGCTGCAGGAGGCTAGTGCGAGCCTCACAGACAAGACCCAGACAGGACTGGGGGTCGCTCCAGGTCTCGGGACAGGTTTGCAGGCCAGGCCTCTTTCGGGAAAGGAATGCACTGGAGGTGTCTGGCTGTCAGGAGGGGCCTGGCCCCACCACAGCCTCCTCTGCCTCCCCCGCAGGGCTTTGCTGAGCGGATCCGACCCATGGTCCGAGACGGCGTCTACTTTATGTACGAGGCGCTCCACGGCACCCCCAAAAAAATCCTCGTGGAAGGTGCCAATGCAGCCCTCCTTGATATTGACTTTGGTAGGTCCCCAGCCCGGCTGATCCCCACGATCCCCCTTTCCTGCCTGCTGGCGACCAGGCCGGTCACTGACCGGATGTGGCAGGGCTGCCTTCCGCGGCCACACTGCCACCCTGCCCACGACAGTGATCATGCTGCCCCTCATCTTCCTACTTCAGCTGGGAGGGACAAGAGAGAGAGCTGACCTGGACAGAAAGGGAGAGAGGCCAGAGCTGCGGCCAGGGCTCCCAGCGAGGCTGGGTAGAGCCGGTGCTTCCATCCATGTGGGCCTTCTGTACATCCTGTCCCGAACCCACGGCCACCCCAGCGCCAAGGCCACACGGTCCAGGCAGGGGAGGCACCCACCATCCAAGTCGGGAGCAGCCTTCTCCCGCTATTCACCCCAGACTCCTACACAGGCCACAGCGGCCTGATGCACAGTGCCCACGTGGGTCACTCCCCCAGGATGGTCTCTGGGACCGCGGGCCCTGGAGATCCCACAGAGGGGACATGCAGGAGGCCGAAGCACGCACCACCCTCTGCCGAGCTGGAGCCCGGGGCCGGGGTGGCCTGCCGGGGTGGCAGCAGGCCCTGACCCGCTCGGTCTTGCAGGGACCTACCCCTTTGTGACGTCATCCAACTGCACCGTGGGCGGCGTGTGCACGGGCCTGGGCATCCCCCCGCAGAACATAGGCGAGGTCTACGGCGTGGTGAAGGCCTACACCACACGCGTGGGCATCGGCGCCTTTCCCACCGAGCAGATCAATGTGAGTCCCCAGCCCCAGCGGGACCCCAGCGGGACCCCAGCGGGGCGCCCAGTGGTGGCGTGTGCAGAGACACACAAGGCAAGAGCAGAGACAGGCATCCACAGGTGCACGCAAGGTGGCGGGCGCCAACAGCCCTGCACCACACAAGCTCCCGCGGACCCGGTTTCCCCGGGAAGCACTGCAGACGGGCGGAGTGCCTCCCGGCCCCTCAGAGCAGCCCGTGTGGTGTGGCTCAGGGACCCCCTCAGGGTGCCGCTGGCCGCCTTTCCTCAACATGGCCTTGTGCCCTTGGCGGCGAGGGCCCAAGGCTCTGGTCCTGAGCAGGGGTGCGTGAGGCCAGCGTGGGAAGTGGGGGAGGAGGGGAGGGGCAGGAGGCAGCAGAGAGAAAGGCTGAGCCCCGAAGCAGCCAGGCGCAGGCTCCCGCTCCATGCCGCAGCGGGCCTGCTCTGCTGTCACGCAGGAAATCGGAGACCTGCTACAGAGCCGTGGCCACGAGTGGGGGGTGACCACAGGCAGGAAGAGGCGGTGCGGCTGGCTGGACCTGATGATTCTCAGATATGCTCACATGGTCAACGGCTTTACCGCGTAAGCAGCCCTTCCCGCACGGTCGTCACGTGGGCGTGCAGGCCACTGAGTCTCCCGTCCGGCACGGCGGGGCCGCGGCAGTGGACGGCCTCAGAGCCGGCCGGCCATCTGCTCCTAAGCACGTGCGGGGGAGGCGGCCGCAGGGGGTCAGAGGGCGTCCTGGCCCCTGTAGGGGGTTAAAATCGTCCATCTAGAGAGGGAGAGGAAGCCTAGCCCGGAGGGCCTCCACCGTGGTCCTCAGGGACATGACTCCTTCTCCGCGGGGCCGGGCCTGGCTTGGCTTGGCCGGACCTCACTCCGTTAGGTCTGCTGGGGTGTGGGGCTGGGCAGTGGGAGGGAGACACTGTCCCCACCCTGGGACCAGGTGCCAAAGAGGCTGCGCTCTGAGCGCCAAGGTGCTGAGGCCGCAGCAAAGCAGAGGACGGGGTGGCCTGGCCACCACGGGCGCAGGAAGCACGGAGAGACCCACCTGCAAGGGCCTGTGAGGGAGGAAGGAAAGGGAACGCGGAAGGAACAGGGCCTGTGCCAGGGAGGACTGTGGCTCGACGCGGTCCCTGGGTGTCCCTACACGCGGTGCTCATGGGGCCGCGGGAACGGGGTCCCATGGGGACACCCGAGGCGAGGAGACCTCAGCCAGGCAGAAACCGCACTCCCGAGCCCGCCTGCGTGCTTCTGGGGCACCCCATCTGCGTTTCCCGGCGACTGTAAATAGCAGGGCAGAAGAAAGGGTGCAGTCCCAGCATGCCAGCAGCTTCTCCAGTGTCGCTCCGTCTGCTGGTCTGGGGACAGGTTGGCCTTAACGAAACTGGACATCCTGGATGCCCTGGACGAGGTGAAAGTCGGCGTCTCGTACAAGCTGAACGGGAAGAGGATCCCCTATTTCCCAGGTACGGGGATGCCATGGCTTCTCCCGTCTGTTGCATGGGAAGAGGAGAAGGGACGGGTCTGCAGCCTGGGGGGACAGGTGGGAGCCAGCCCCTGCTAACCCCAGACCCTGCGGGACTCTTAGGCGCTGCCAAGGCCCACCTCCTGGGCACCCTGGAAGCTCCCCGGGCAGGCGTGGACTGCTCTGTGCAAACATAAAGATGACTGTTTTACCTAAGAAAACACGGTTTTCAGTTATTTAAGACCTAAGGGGTTTCTGCTACCGTGTGTCGCTTCTTTTAGAAAGTACAAAGGCGAATGTTTTCTTGGATCTCACAGTTCCCATTCTGACCGCATCCCCCTCCGCCCCCGCCGCCCCAGTGGCTTCTTCCCTGCAGCCCTCATTCTCTTCTGAGCTCATGTGTAGACCCCCTCCTCCCCTTGGCCTGTGTCCCCTGGCCCCACTGACCCCTGACCTTTGAGAAGACACAGCGGGGGTATGGTGTGACCCCAGGGATCCAGGGCCCAGGGGAGCGTGCAGTGAGGATCCCTCAGGAGACAGCTTGTTCCAGCACCTTCCATCAGTAAGGGTTGGTTGGCGTCTACTGTGAGCCACATGCCCAGGAGCCACGGAGTCCTGGCTGGAGCAGGGTCCTTGCCCTGGTAACAGGACACAGAGATTCTTCAGGATCCTGTCATGCTTCAGGACTCTTAGAATTTCCTAGTTGGGAGAAGGGGGGACACCTGAGTGGCTCTGTCAGTTAAGCATCCAACTCTTGATTTCGGCTTGGGTCATGATCTTGGGATCGTAAGGTCAAGCCCCACGTAGGGCTCTGTGCTCAGGGCAGAGTCTGCTGGAGATTTTCTCTCTCCTCTGCCCCTCCCCTTGCATGCTCACTCTCTAAATAAATAAATAGATAAATAAAATCTTAAAAAAAAAAAAAAGAATTTCCAAGTGGGGTCCATGGAATTCCTCAGCTGAGCCAGCCACCTGTGGAGGTTCTAGCAGAGCCCTTAGCAGTCCTTGTCTGGGGTGGACGTGTCCCCTGGTCTGGCAGGGATACAGCCAATGTCAGAGAACCCTCACCACCCCCCGCCCCCGAGAAAACCAACCAGGGCCATGTGCCTTCCACCTGGCTGAGCCCCGCGGCAAGCAGGTCCCCGAATGGGAGACCCGAGCACCAGAATCTTCGGGACATGGGCCGAAGACAGGGCCCGACCCTTTGTCTCCCCAGCAAACCAGGAGATACTGCAGAAGGTTGAGGTTGAATACGAAACGCTGCCTGGGTGGAAGGCGGACACCGCGGGCGCCAGGAAGTGGGAGGACCTCCCCCCGCAGGCCCAGAACTACGTCCGGTTCGTGGAGAATCACGTCGGAGTGGCAGGTGGGTGTATGTGCCCCGGCCACCATCCCGCCCTCTGTGCCCCACCCCCCACCCCCGGGGCTGAGCAACTCTTTTCCCTTCCAGTGAAATGGGTTGGGGTCGGCAAATCAAGAGATTCGATGATCCAGCTCTTTTAGACGGAGAGCGCTGAGCCCGCGGAGCGCAGCGGCCCTGTCCCTCATCGGCAGCCGCAGAGTCACCGCCCGAAACGCAGAAGTAGGAAAACTAGTTTCTGTACTTTTATATATCTCTCCAAGCCTTCAGCTCAGCCACCGATTTCTACAGTGATCCAAACATCTGACGGCCAGCGTTGTGTATGTTTGTTTTTTTTTTAAATCCTGCTACTGAAAATGAGCCAAAGTACTCAAAACAGAGAACTTTTATGGCACATTAATTGTCACATGGTTGTATGGCTGGCTGGAGCCGTTTAGTAATAAACACACGCAGTAGCCACTGAGTAGTGGTGATCGGTCCGTGTCTGGTTCTGTCCTTTCGTTTTGACTTTGGCGGCGACAACAGTCTGGGGGACGCACATTTCCGGTATCACAAAGCCGAACTGTTCGCTTGCTTAGACGGCAAACTGGTCACTGGAACGGGCCCAGGTAGGCGAGACCACAGGCATTCAGTGCTCCCCAAAAGGGAATCGTTACAGGAGCGCCCCCTTGAGCTCTAAGCCCCCCTGCACGGGGCGGAGGCAGCCCCCCAGCAGCCCCTCTTCACGTCAGTTGCATGCACCTGCCCTCATCCCTCTGGAGGTCACTGGACTGAATCAGTCACTTCTTAACAGGCCACAGCTGCTCGAGCTTACTGTGGTCTCCACTGGAAGCTGAGGAGCCTCCTTGAACAACTCTTCACAGAGTCTGGGGTAAATTTAGAAAAATAACCGCCCTCTCGGTATGATTCGGGAGAGGGGAGGAATTAGATGGGGAGACCCAGAGTCGGTCAGGGTTAAATCCCGGCCTTGTAACCCTGACGCTGGCATCCGGGCTCATGGAAATGGGTCGAGTGCCCACGGGGCTTGCTTCCCAGGGACCACATGGGGCTCCAGTCCGACTGGCCTACACCAGGGAGCCGCTAACCACGTGACAGCATCTTTAATGAGCAGGCTCCATTCTGAAACTCCTGTGACGTCACGCCCTCTAGCAAACTGCTCCAAACAGTGCCCAGATGAGTCTTGAGTGATTTGAAAGAAGCCAGGAAAATGGGCTACAACCAGCTTCCCTGGACCTTCCAGTCAGTGAGGAGCACAGCTACTTGAAGGCAGGAGCGAGAAGCACCACCAGAAACTGTTGAGTTTCCCGAGAATTATTTCCTTCCATGATGCGGCAAAGCAGGGGTCGGTTCTTCAGGAAAGAGGGGCTGCCCCCTCAACTACACTGGACCCCACAGGCAGTTCTCTGGCCGCATCTTGCCACAACAGAGATGCACGCCTTTGATAGTCAACCGAGCTGGCATTTTTCAAAAGAAAGAGAAATCATTTCATTCTGCCTAAAAAGCTACAAGCCTGGCTTTGTGAGGTTAACCTGCAATTTAAATTAGCTGCAAAAACTGTTTTCAAACCTCTATCTTGTAGTGGCTGCTAAATCCTTCACCTGAAGACAAGTTGTTGTTGATTTTCTTCTACCTCTAGACAAAATCTAGAGGAGGCAGCCTCAGGCAGTGTCCTTGGGCGTCTGTAGCGTTGTACAGGCTGAAAAGACCAACTTCCAGGGACAATGATTCTTCCCTGGCACCAACTTCCTCATTCTCATGGCCCAGGGACAGGAGGCTGTCTCCTCTGAGGGATGCGTTAGTGCACACAGCCCCCCTTTTCTAGCATCAGGTGTTGGAGGGTTTGAGTAGTCATGAGGTGCTCTCTCTGCTTTGCACCCTAACACCTGCAGCGTGGAGGAGCTCATAGTGGTCTCAGCTCAACACACGAGGAAAAGACAAATCAGTAGTTAATGCTGATTGCTGTGCTCTTCCAAACACTCTGAAAAGCTGCCAGTTCCCTGAACATTCCTTTACCTGCCACCCAGCCATCCCGCTCCTAGGCGCTGACCTCAGTAAATGAAGACCGATGTCCAGAAAAAGCCTTATAGAAGACTATTCAGAGAAGCTGCCTTTGTCACATCCCAAACTGGGCGCCAGCCTAGGCATCCCGGGACAGGTGAACAAACTGCACACGGAATACACTCAGCACCAAAAGGAACCACCACTGGGGGTCTCAACGTCGGCACGCGAAGGAGCCCAACACAAACGCACACGTGTGCATCTGCAGAATGAGTCTGCCCACGTATGAGGTTCTGGGGCAGTAGCCCTACCCTGCAGGGACAGAAAGCAGAGTGGCGGCCTCTCGTGGTCCCGCAGGCATATGCCTCTGTAGTCATGGATGCCACTGTGCCTCTCTCATCCGGGCACTCCACCGGGTAGAGACACATACAGCTTCGCTCTGAGTAAATTATGCTCCAACTGAAGTTGCTGAGAGTCGTACAACTGCACTACCTAGCTTTGGAACAGCTGAGATGGTAATTACTCAAGATCTTAGGGCCCCGAGGCAGCCTTGACTAGACATCTCAAAGAGTGTGTCTCCTCTGTCCGTCTGTCCGGAGGGGAAAGTGTGCTGCCTCGTCACAGGAAAACAGAAACTGTGTTCTTTCCTCGATCTGATCAATGTTCATTTCCAGAATGTCCAGCTTTCTGAGGTTATGCTGTTAGGCTCATGCTTCCCATGAGCTCCGAACCTGGCTTTTGTTTCCTGGGGCGTCCTTCCCCTTTTGTGACATTTGTCCCACCAGGGGGAGGGACCCTACTGGCTGTACCCAGCACCACTCCAAGAGCCTAGTGCAGAGCTTGGCATGTGTTACAGGCTGAATCCCATCCCCCTTAGATTCCCATGTTGTCCCAATTCTCAGGCCCTCATAATGTGACTGTATTTGGAGATAAGGGAGGTAATTAGCCTTTTTCCTAGCATTGAGTTGTAAATGACATGCAGCACGTGCCTTAATTGTACCTAGAGCCCATTGTGTAAGTTTAAGGTGTACAGTGTGATGATCCGATACACAGGAGGTCAGTTAACACCTTCTTCACCCCATTTTGTCGTGAGAAAATGCTGAGGACAGTTAAGATCTACTCTCTCGGCAGCCCCCAAGTACGCAGTGTTGCTAAGTACGGTCATCATGCTGCGCAGATCCACCTTTGACCAGCACCTCCGTGTCCTACACGCACCCATCGCTCGGCAACCACCACCGGCTGCTTCTGGGAGTCTGACGATGTGAAACTCCGCGTGACTGGTGAGCTCGTCCAGTATTCGTCCTCTTCGGCCTGATGTGTTCCACCTAGCGTAGCGTCCTGCAGGTTCGCGCCTGCGTTACTGCAAACGTCCGTCCTTTCCGCGGCTGAGCAAGAGTGCGCTGGGCGCCCGGGGCCGCCGCATCCTCCTGCACCCATCCGGGCGGGACGGCGGCGGGCGGCCCCGTGTCTTGGCCCCGTGACGCGGGCTGCGGGGCCGGCGGGGGTGGCACGGCCTGTCCGCCACCGTGATCACGCCTCCTCCCTGGACACCCTCGCGCAGCAGCTCCACTGTCGGGGGCTCGCCGCGCGGGGGTCGTCCGGGGGGCCCTCGCGAGATGGGCCGAGGCCAGCCGGGCCCCCGAGGCCCCCTTAAGCCCGCACGCCGCACCCGGACACAAAGCCCTGACGACGTCCAAGACCCGCACGACTGAGCCGAAGCCCCGGCAGCCCCCAGCGCCACCCTCCCTCCCGCCGGCCGGAAGTGACGTCGTGCCCCGGAAGCGTCCGGGGGCCGGACGGCACGGCCCACTTCCGTGACTCGGCGGTCCTCCCGCTTAAAATTTAGGAAAACGCGAATCGTCCTCCAACTCCGGTGACGTAAACGAGGGCCCGTAACCAGGGACCACCCCCCTGCAAAACCCCGAGCGCCCGCCCCGCCCGCTCAAGCACCCGAGCCCCGCCCCCGACGTGGCCCCAGCCCCTTCCGCCACGCCGCGCCCGACGCCGGGTCGCCCTAGGCCTATCCCGCGGCGCGCCTCACACAAGGCCCGCCCCCGGCGCACCGGTCCCGCCTCCAACCTAAGCTCGGCCTATCCGGCGCCGCGACGCCTTCGAGCCCCGCCCCACGCCCTTGCCTTCGGCCCGTCCCTTGCCGCGCTCGAACCCCGGCCCCGCCCCTTCCCTCGGCTTTTCCCGCGCAGCCGGGTCCCGCTCCGGCCCTCGCCCGCAGCCTATCCCGCGCCGCACCGCCTTCGAGCCCCGCCCCCGCCCTCGCCTCCGGCCTATCCGGCGCCGCGCTCGAGCCCTGCCCCCGTCCTCGCCCCCAGCCTATCCCGCGCCGCACCGCCTTCGAGCCCCGCCCCCGCCTCAGCCCCCGGCCTATCCCGCGCCGCTCCGCGTCGGCGCGCGGCCGTGACGCCACGGGTCGCGGCGACGCGCGCGGCTGAGCTGCGCCGCTCCGGGCCCGCGGCCATGCCCAAGCGGGGCTGTCCGTTCGCGGACGCGGGCCCGCTGCAGCTCAAGGTCCGCGTCGGCCCGCGGGAGCTGAGCCGCGGCGTATGCGCCGAGCAGCGCTCGCGAGAGATCTTCGGTGAGTGCGGGGCGCCCCTCCCGCCCGCGGGGGCCCGTGCCGGCCGTGTCCGCAGGCCGCGCCCCCGGGAGCCGGGAGGCCGCGGGAGCCGGCCGTGCCGCCGGGCTCTGGGGGCCGTGAGGGCGGCGGGAGCGCGCCCAGGCCCACCTGCGCTGCCGCAGCCCCGAGAGGTCTGCCTGCCGCCCTCCTGCCGGCGCGCGCGGCGCTCGGCCCCGCGGAGGTCGGGGGTGTCACGCTCCGAGTGGTGAGCGGGCGCGAGCGCCCATCCCAGCCCTCGGGCTGCGCGGAGGCCCTGCCACCGGGAGCGCCCTGGTTTAGGCGGGGCCTGCAGGGGAAGGGAATCCGCACGGGCACGGGTCTCGGGGGCAGCAGAGTGAGCGCAGTCCTGCAGGCTGAGCAGGAGGCGGGGGGCAGGGAGGGAGGGAACAGGAGTTCAGGCGGAGGGGCAGAGTGTGCAAAGGCCGGGAGGCAGGGCAGGGCAGTGCGGGGTGAGACGTGAGGGCAGTGAGCTCCAGCAGGTCTTCTCGTCGGGCTTTCTCGTGCAGGTGTTAGGGGCGGGTTCTTGCTCACCCGTTCGGGTGGTTGATACCCTGAGGCAGCTACAAAGTGGAGCTCGCCTTACCTCGTGGCTGGGGGCACAGTGTTTGTAACATTGTAACACTGTAACATTGGGGAGGTGGGGAAGAGACGCCCTGGGAGACCCCAGTGCTCCTCCTCCTGCTGCCGCCCCCAGCCCCCAGCAGCTGTTGGCCCTTTGCTTCCTTGCACGCTTGGGTTGCAGGTGATAAAAGTGAGCACAGCCGCGGGGACTCTGGCAGAACTGTAAGTGCCCACCCTGTAGGGACGCTCAAAGACACCGCGCTGGCAGAAAAAGAGTTTAAAACAAATGGGGACTCTGTCAGTCGAGCTCTTTACCCCGCCGCCTTGACTGCCCTGGGCATTCCAGCCCCATCTGTCACCTGACCTCTTTGCCTTGCTTGGATCCCAAGCCTGGAAAACAAGCTTCACCACGGCTCGGGACACCCCTCCCCCATTCCATCCCAGGATAAGGCGCGGGGGTGGGGGTGCTGGAGGAGGAGGAGGCGTTGTCATCAGCCTCGTCTGAGCTACCCGGTCACTGTCGTTCCTGTCGCCATCACACAGAGCCAGCGGCTTCTAGGATCTCCGCCCCGGCTCTGTGGAGACAAGGCAGAACACCACAAAGCATTTTGGGGGCTGGAGTTGGGCATTTGATCTTGTGAAAGTCCCCAGATGACTGACGCGTGGCCTGATGGAAAACCAGTGCTGAGCACCCCGTTCAGCTCTCAGGGTGGGGGTGCCCAGGGCCCACCGGGGTCTGGAAAGTTCTGTCTTTTGCCAGCAGCTCTGCGGTAGGTGAGAGGGGTGCACACTGGCCACGGCTTGACGGACGAGGTGGCTGTGCAGGGATTTCACGCCACAGGGGTGTGAACACTGGGACTGATTTGTCTTCCCAGAGAAAACCAAGCAACTCCTTTTTCGAGGGGCCCAGGCCTACATGGACCACTTATGGGAGGAGAGCTGTGCCATCGTTGACCTGCCAGAGTCCCCGAAGCCTGGCCCCACAGAGGCCCTCCGGGCCGCACGTGGGCAGATGCTGATTGGACCAGACGGCCGACTGACCAGGAGCCAAGCCCAGGCCTCTGAAGCTGGTGAGTGAAGCCAACAGCGGGCGCCTTCCCAGCTGTGCGCTAAGGGTGGATGTGACAAGCGTGTCGCCCTTCATTCCTGATACCGTCTGCCTAGGGGCTTCTCCTTCCCCAGCCAGGCAGGAGCTGGCCCCAAGGTCTGAGGAGCTGGTGAGCACCAGGAGGCTCTGCCCTGCCCCCGCGGCCCCCAGCTGACATCCGAGTCTGGGGCTTGTGAAGCAGCTTCTGGCTGGGGGAATCAGGAAAGGAGGAGAAACCTCCTTGGTGTCCTGCCTGCTTTCTGCTTGCAGCGAGACACGGAGTCCCAGCCGGGTGGGGATCGCTGGTCGGGCCCCTGTGCGCTGTGTAGCTCAGACCACCGCCTTTGTCGTTGGTTACAAGCCATAGTCACTGCCCCCCCCCCCGCCCCCCACTCCCCAGGGCTGGTCTGGGGCCAGGAACTCTGTTCACCGCGGGTGCAGGGGCCACACTCTGAGACACAGGCGCTGGACACACGAGAGAGTTCTGGTACAAGCCACCGAGGGAGGAAGTGCCGACGTCTAGATAGCGGGAACGGAAGGAGCGCTCAACCCGGAGTCCCGGAAACTGCCCTCTAACGTGCTCCTGGGCGCCTGGGGTCTTCCTAGTGAGCAAGGGTCTGTGGGCTGTGCTTTCTTGAAGGTTGTCAGGAGGACCCAGTGGTAGATGGCATGCAGGGATTCAGGGCATCCCTCTGTCCGCGGGTCGGGGAGGCCGTGGCCCCACAGCCTGCAGCACTTGAGATCCCCTGTGGGGCTGATGGGCGGCGTTTCTTCCTCGCAGACCCGTCCAGGGCAGTGACCAGAGCCTGTTCCTCGTGTGTGCGAGCGCTGGACGGGAAGGCGGTCTGCGGCCAATGTGAGCGCGCCCTGTGTGGGCGTTGCGTGCACCTCTGCTGCGGCTGTGGGGCTGTGGCCTGCGGTCTGTGCGCGCTCGCGGAGTAAGTGCCCGACGGGGGTGGGGCAGCGGCTCCCCCCGCCTTGCCCCTGGGGAGGGGGGCGTGCCGGGAACTGCTTCACCTAGCTTGAAGTTCTTCTGAAGACTGCTCTTCCCTCGAGGACGTCCGGATCCCGTAGGCTGCCACTTCTGCCTTTGCCTGCGCCGTCTGTCGTGGCGGCTTGGCGAGCTGACCTTTCAGACTGGCGTCAGGACCGTCTCTCGGGGTTTTCCTGTTAGCGTGCTTGCCGTTGGAGGAAGCGGGTGGGAGCAGGTGGGAGCGGGTGCAGGTGTATGGCTCTGTGCTTCTTGCTGGCCGTCTTGACCCACGATGGAGTGTTGGCTTAGTCTGTTGCTTGAGTGCGCGTGTCTGCCTCTGCTGGCCGAATCCTGCACCTGCTTGGGAGGCGCCGGGTACCAGTCCCACGCCAGCAGCCGCTGTTGGCTACCGGGTGGGGGTGTAAGACGAGGCCCCCGCACAGACTTGGAGCTGGCTGTGTAGACCTCTAACTAGTTTAGTCCCAACAGTCTGAAACCAATCGTGGCAAGCAGAAGCCCAGCTCGGGTGGGCCAGCCAGCAGAGCCTGGGGAAGCCAGGGGCAGCGTGTGCGGCACAAGGCAGGGGGGCACCTGGAGCTCCCCTGCAGTCCAGCTTGGGTCGTGTGTTGACCAGTTATGCACGTGGACTACTCTTGCCTTTGCTTCTGCCGGCTTATTCTCCCCTTCCTGTTTCTGTGCAGACTGAAGAGGCCTGGGCCCCCAGTGTTCCAAGGCTATTTCACGTGGGGAGGGACCCAGCTCAGCAGCAGGGCAGGTTAAGGGAGAAGAAGGGATGCCTGGAGCCCTCCTCCCACCCGCCCGTGTTTGGGAACTTTCCTCCTGTCCTGACAGTGTCCTCCTGGCGTTAACTTCCTGCTTTTTCCCCAGCTGCCTACACAGTTCACCCTGTGATGGAGGGGCGGGGAGAGGGGAGCGTCCATTTCTCAGACATGACTGGGGGCTGGGCTCTCTGCTGCATTTTACAAACAGATCACCCTCCAGGCCACAAGGCTGAAGTGGCATCCCCAGGTGTAGAAGCCAGCCTTGGCCTGCTGCCCCCTCCCGTTTAGGGGTGGCCCCTCAGGTCCCGGTGCTCGGAGCCGCGGAGCTGGGTGCTCTGTCGAGACTGCTTTCACTACAGGGCAGCCCAGCGGCCATCGCGTCCTGCCCACGCTGGTCGTCCTCCACAAGTCCTGCACCATGGGTCACGGGCTCACTGTCTTCCCTGCCAGGTGGCAAGCAGCTCTGCCTTCTTGCTGGCGCATCTTGGCCTACAGTGTCTGTCCATGTGTGTTCTGTAGCGTGCTGCCAATTTCTTGTCCTTGTGGGATCTCTCCTGGTGAATCTCCCCTGCGATTCACTGAACCTCTGGGGCCCGGTAAATCCTGACTGGATACGGGCAGGTTTCTGTGCAGGGTGGGCCGCAGGTGGGCCGTCAGCGATCTCCGTCCGCTGCGGCTGCTGTGGAGGACGCCACACCCGGGCGGCGTAGCCAGCAGCTGTCATGCTCTGGAGGCCGGAAGCCCAGGATCAGGGCGTCGGCGGGGTTGGCTCCTCCCCAGGCAGGCCCGGGGTTGTGGGCGCACCTCAGCCTTCTCCCAGTGGCCTCGCACGTGGGTAAGGGCCCACCCGTCTGCAGTGGGGCCTCATCTTAACTGGTTCTGTCTGCAGCTCACGGCTCCATCCCCAGATACGGCTAGGGGACCGGGGCTCAGCGCCGCAACATACCGACGTAGGGGGGCGCGACTGAGCCCCTTAAACCACTTCTTCTCTCTTGCCTGTGATGTTGCAGCTGCGGTGACGTTCACGAGACGGTGCTGTGTGCTGGCTGCGCCATGTTCGAGGCCTGAGGGCCGGAGCGGACAACAGCCTCCCCGGACAGGCCGCCCGGGTGCCGACGCTGCAGAGTGGGGGCGGGGGGTGGGGGTCTAGTTTATATTTTGTACTGAGGGCAGAGTGAATAAACCCCTTTATATTTGGACCAGAGGCCTGGCTCAGCACTTCTGGGGGTGCAGCCTCCTGGGGCGTGTGTTCCCCCTGGTGGTGTGCAGGCCCCCATGCCCGGCGCCCACGCGCGGCAGCTTCTGCAGCCCCTCGGAGCTTCGGGTGAGTGTGTTCCCGCTCGTCCCCATTTTGTGGATGGGAAACAGGCGTCCAAAGTCAGGTCCTTGAGCCCCCCTGGCCAGTGCTGATGAGAGAGGATTTGGACCCAGGTCATCTGACTCCAGAGTGCAAGGCTGCACCAGAGCAGCTCGGGACATGGGGTGATGTCCCAGACTGTCCCTGAGATGGCTCTGCTACCTGCCCCCATCTGGTGTCCACTTGGTTTTTCAGGTGCCTGCACGGCCTGGGCTCCGGGTGACCTGACAGTCCCTGCTCTCCAGGAGTGATGGCCAGCTGGGCAGTGTCCTTGCTGCATTTGGGGCAGTGCGGTGTGTGGCCTGAAGGGAGGGGTGTTGACGGCCACAGCGGGGTGGCCGGGGGAGGGCACACACGAGCAAGCTGTGGGTCTCCCGCACCTGGTGCGCGCGTCCCCTGCAGGGCGGACTCAGCATCCTGTTCACGGGAGGGAAGTGTCCAGGGGACAGTGGGGTGTGATTCTTAGAGGACAGCAGGGGGGTGGGCTGGAGCTGGGCCCAGGCTGTGATTTGCTACCGTGGGTGGAACATAGAAACCACTCACGTTCAGGTGGGGAGGGCCGCGTACAGGCGAGGAGGCTGGCATGCAGTCAGGGCCGCGAGCCCCGGAAACAGCTGTCCGTTGGCCATCCTCGTCACGGGATTGCCTCCTCTCACCTGGCTTCCTGCAGAGGCCTCGAGCCTCCCTCTAGGTGTCCACCTGTAGGCCGTGACCCCAGTAAGCACAGCATCACATTGGTCGTTTGGGAAATTCAAATCAAAGCCACAAGGAGATAGCACCTCACACCGATGGCCATTACGAAGAAAACAAAACAAGTGTGGGCGAGGATGCGGAGAAACTGGAAGCCTCGTGCACTGTTGGTGGGAGTGGTGCGGAAAACAGTGTGGTGGTTCCTCAAAAAATGAAAAAGGGAACTACCGTATGAGGCGGCCATCCCTCTAGGGTGTGTGTTTACACAAAAGAACTGAAAGCAGGAACATGAACAGACGTGTGCACCCCCGTGTTCACTGTGGCGTGAGTCACCGTGGCCAGGAGGGGGGCAGCCTGTGTCCATCAACAGGCGAGAGGGTAAGCAGACTGGCCCATCTGTGCGGGGGGGGGGGGGGCATCCAGCCTCGGGGGCCGTCAGGACATGCAGCTCCGTGACCTGAGCCAGCACATGAGGACCGGTCCAGTGTGATCCCGCTCACGATGTCCCTCGGGGAGTCTGGTCATAGACGTGCCCGGGGGGGGGGTCAGCGTTTCATGGGGACTTTCAGTTTGGGAACATGGATGGTGGCGGTAAGCCTCACACTCGCTGAGGTTGGGGGCGTGGCCGGCTCAGGTCCCCACAGTCCGGGATGGAGCCCGCTTCTCCCTTGCCTTCTGCCCCTCCCCCCGCTCGTGCTCTGTCTCTCAAATAAAAGCTTTTAAAAAATAAAATATTTTATTTATTTATTTTTAAAGATTTTATTTATTTAATTGACAGACAGCAGGAGAGGGAGCACAAGCAGGGGGAGCGGGAGAGGGAGAAGCAGGCTTCCTGCTGAGCAGGGAGCCTGATGTGGGGCTCGATCCCAGGACCCCGGGATCATGACCTGAGCCGAAGGCAGACGCTTAACGACTGAGCCACCCAGGCACCCCCAAAATAAAATCTTTTAAAAAGTAAAAACGGGCACCTGGGTGGCTCAGATGGTTAAGTGTCTGCCTTCAGCTCAGGTCATGATCCCAGGGTCCTGGGATCGAGCCCCACATCGGGCTCCCTGCTCAGCCGGGAGCCTGCTTCTCCCTCTGCCCTTCACCTTACTGGTGCGCTCTCACTCTCGCTCCCGCGCTCTCTCTCAGATAAAGTCTTAAAAATATATATATAAATAAGGCATGTGGCATCATTCTGCAGAGTCGCACATGTACCTATATTAAAAAAAATGCCAGTTGACTCTTGAAAGCAGAAGTTATAGCACATTTAGGGGTCTTGACGTTTGTGGATGCAGAGGGTGGGAATGGAGTGTGCCCTGTCCTGGTCCTGCTTGTGAGGCCCCGACCAAGCTTGAAGACGAGAAATACAAGGTATGCCCTGTCCGTCCCAGAGCCGCTGGGCTGGGGCCCTACGTGCAGCTCGGCATCGTGGCCAGATCCTGCAGTGGAAAGCAGCATCAGTGGGAAAACTGGTAAAACAAGCCAGTTAAGGAGAGAAGATGATGTTTGAAAAAAGTCATTTAATCCAAAATCAGGCGAGGAGAGATGAAAGAAGGAACAAAGATCAAATGGGGCGCAGAAGAACAGCAAGAGGGTTCGTAAGCTCAGTCTTGCCCACAGCCGCCTGCGGTATGAACAGACCCAATGCCTCAGTCAAGGCGGGAAAGGCCAGAGCTGGTCAGATTGTCCCGACAGACAGCAAAAGAGCGAGACCCTCCTCTGTCGTCTACAGAAGTTCACCTTAGGTGTAAAGACACAAAACCCAAAGGACGGTAATCTCCATCTCTGAGCAGCTGTCCCTGGCTGGCAGCTTCTAGACAGCAGGCCCAGCCCCTAACACCCCCAGCTCTGCAGGGCATGCACACCCCCCATCACCAGGCAGGCCGGCAGCCCCAAGTTAGCTCCTTCCCACACCTGCCGTGATGGGGGGGCAGGGATGGCCCCCGGGAGTTTTCTGTCCAAGGTGCCCATTGCCTTTGCGCCCCCCCACAGCCCCCACCCATTTCCTCAGCTCCCCCCACTTGAGATGGGGTTGTATTGTGTCCATGCCCTTGACCTTGACCCCTCTCCTGGGACAGAAAGCATCCCCCATCACCTGTGGGAAGGGGTGGGCCCGCCTGACAAGGGGCCCCAGGCTCCTCCCCGGTTTCCGCCCGCACCCGCCATCGCAGCCACCGTCTGCCCAAAGTCTGAGGACAACGGAAGGGTGTCACTGTATTTTCTCTGGTGGACTTTGCTCTTTTCTGTGTCAAGGTATACATAAAACTTAAAGGCCTTAACCATTTCAAGTGTACAGCTCGATGGCATTAAATACGCTCACCACTGCCCACCGTCGTCTCTGGAACTCTTCATCTTGCAAATCCGACTCCCCGTTAATCTCACTCTCCAGCCCCTGGCACCACTTTCTCTCTCCCCGCGCATCTCACTCCTCAGGGCCCTTGTGTAAATGGAATCCTAATGCCACTCGGCATAATGTCCTCAGGGTCCATGCATGTGGCAGCGGGAGCCAGAAGGTCCTTTTCTGAAGGCTGGGTCACAGTCCTGTGAATGGACGGGCCTCGGTTTGCTTATCCATTCACCCACTGTGGACACTCGGGTGCCATCCACGGTTTGGCCACCGTGAGTCATGCTGCAGTGACCACGGCGACGGGCTCTCTGCTTTCAGCCCTTGTGGCTACAGACCCAGAAGTGGACTTGCTGGGTTATCGGGTGTCTGATTTCTCGAGGAACCGCCATACTGTTTGCTGTCAGCGGCTGCACCGTTTTACCTTCACACCGACAGCACACGGGGTTCTGATTTGATGCCCATGCTCATCCGTGGGACATCTGGACGTCTCTTTTACCTCTTTGATATGTAACGTTTGGGGTGTGTGTGTGGTCCCAAAAGAGCTGTGTCCTCTTGTGACTGGGGCCTACTCCGGATGTGCCCCCAACCTGGCACTCCTCACAGGCGCTCCCTCCAGCGGGAGGGGACAGCCACCCCACCTGGAGTCACCTTGGGATCTGGAGAGGGAGGGGCCCCCACCCCCACCCCCACCTCCAGGCGCATGCCCCAGGACCTATAAATGTCCCCGCACCCCAGCCACACCTGCATGGGAGAGATGAGGCCAAGGCTCCCAGGCTCCCTCCGCCCGCGCTTGCCCGGCAGCTGGCTCCTCTGCGCTGAGCAAGCGGCCACCGGGCATCCACCAGGTGGCGCCTGCCACACGTCCCACCAGGCGGCGGGGTCCCCGTCTGGGCCACTCGCACCCCTCTACCCAGCAGTCCCAGACTTGCTGCGTGGCCTCCGCCAGGCCTCCTGGGCTGCGAGGGGGTGACCCGGCTGGGCATGTGGACAGCCTGGGCACCTGCCCACTCCATGCACGCCGCCAGGGAGGGCCATCCTCTCTCGGGGGCAGGCTGATCCTGCTCCCCCTACACACGCCGGCCGGCCCACACGCTCTCGCCCGCCACCCACCAGAACAAGCCCCAAAGTTGAAAAGCAGTGTTTATTGAAGAATTTGGAGGGAAAGTCTCACAATAGTAAAAATAGTAAAGTTGAATGTAAAAAGCGCCCCGGTGTGGCGCGGCGTCCGGCCGCGAGGCGCGGGGGGGCGCGGAGGCCCCTCCGAAGGGCGCTGGGCGCGTGGCGGGCCAGTGAAGCTGCTCCAAGGGACGAGGGCTACCTGGGGACACCATGGACGTGAGACGCCCCGGAGGGGACCAAAGGGTGGGAGGGAGGGGCTTTCTTGTCACTGCGATTAAAAAACCCCCAAATGCATGTGAATAGCGTAACACACAGCAACGGACTGCGACCTCGTTCCTCTGCCTCTCGGGCGAGCCCGGCCTGGCCTGCCCCAGGGAGGGGACCGGGCCAGCGTGCCACAACCAGGCTGCTGCTGGTGCCCCCAGGCTGGGCCGAGACAGCTGGCGGGAGGGACGGAGGGGCCGAGGCAGGGCGCACCCGGACCCCCAACTGCACGTGGCTGCATAAGGCCCTCGACCTTTTCCTATGTGAATCTAGTCGTTCTGAAGGCCAAGGCCATGTCTGGAGACCTAGATGAAATAAATTAAAAAAGCCCGCAGGACACCTTTGCTCCCGGCCCGGCTGGCAGGGAGGGTGCCCCCTTCAGGCGGGCCGCCCCGCCCACAGCACGAAACGTCTTCCCATCCCCGCTCGGAGGAGTGACATGGCTCCCAAACGCATCCAGAGATAAACGAAATACAAGTCGTCCCGCGAGGCTTCCTCCCCGTCCCCTAAAGCCGCCGTCAGGGGTGCGGCGGGGCCAGCTGGCCTTCCTCAGGCCGTGCCGCTGGCCGAGTAGGAGAACTGTGGGAAGTGGGGCCTCCGCTCGCTGTCCTCACCCTCCATGTTGTCACCTGCAGCCGGGCGGGCGGGAGGTGCACTCAGACGCCAGCACCGGGAGCACAGCTCCTGTGCATCCAGAGACTGAGGCAGGCCCTAGGGCTCGCCTCCCAGGCCCTCTCACTGCCAGGGCCGGGACGGTGCCCTCCTGCCCCCATCACCACCCTCCCGCAAGGGAACACTGCAGGCCTCAGGAGAGAAGGGAAGAAACAGGCTTGGGGGTTGGCGGGGAGGTGGCCCACCCCTCACCTTGGTCGGGTGGCGTGATGGTGATCATCTGAGCCGTGAATTCCTCATCAAAATACCTGGTGTCTGTCTCTGACGTGACCTGGGGCTTGAAGGGCGGACTGAGCTGCAGGGGACAAGGGCAGGGGGAAGGCAGGTGACAGGCTGCACTCTGCACTGCCCCCAGGGTCCGAGCTCCCCCTCACCCCCCCGCCCCCTGCCAAGGGAAATGCCTCCTGTCTCCAGGCCACACTGAGGCCATGGAACGGGGCTCCAGCAGGGAGACACACAGGGGAGGGTGGCGGCCTGGAGCCCTGCAGACATGCCTCTCCCCAGGGGCAGGCCAGGCCATGCTTGCAGTGGCCCCCACAGCTGACCAGCTCTGCAGGGCCCCAGGGCCCCAGGCAGAAGAAGACAAGTGCATTCTCTTTTCTAGCCTTCACTTTCTTTCTGGTTCTCTTATGAAGTAGGAAAGAGATGAAGAGGGATGCCATGGGACAGGGTGGACTCCCAGCCCCATCCTTAGGTGCCACTCACAGCCTGCCTTCCTGACCACAGCCACTCAGCCCAGCTGCCAGGGGCTTCCACTCTGATATTCGTGATAAAGGGACAGTCCCAAACCCACCAGGGCCAGCAAGTAGTATTCCCATGCAGTGGCTCTGGGGGCCCACGGCGGCCCTGGGAGGGGACCCCAGTAGCACCCAGATAGTCCTGGGGTACAAGGTGAACTTACATGCCCCAAACCCACACAGGGCTCCCAGGGCCCTCCCTGCCCAACTCCCACCAGGAGAGGAGACCAGGCCTTCCTATCTGCAGAACAGAGAAGGGACAAGTCCTGAGCGCAGGGCCTGTCTGGCCTCATTCGCGGCTCAAGGACAAGAGTGCAGCCAGCTGAGTCAGGCTGCAGAGGATGCAAGGGCAACTGTATGGGATATGTCCATGTGAGCAGGGCCCTGCAGGCAAGCACCGCCCCCAGCACTCCAGGGCTGCCCCTCACGAGCGAGCAGGGCCTCCGGTCAAGGTTGGGCAGCTGGGCTGTCGGCGGGCAGGGAAGCGGATAGGAGCTGGGCAGGGCGAGGGCGCCTGTCACGCAGGCAGGACAGAGGCCCAGCCGGCAGCATGTGGCCGGCAATGGGCCTGCACGGGGAGGGTAGGCGGGAAACCAGGTGGAAGTCTG